ATAATTTCAAAGAACCAATTTAATAATGGTTTGATCCCTTTATACCTATACTTGCTCAACTATACTATATTCAATCCTATATCGTATTTTCGCACTAAATTTCTCAGTGTATTTCTGGTTTTACATAGCAGTAACTTGTTGTTATAATTTACTAGTCTATTTTATTAAGAAAACAATAATTTTTTATCTAATTTCACTCTTGAAGTAAAGTATCATAAATTTTGCTTAATGTACTCCATGCTCTAACTCATAAGTGTGCCAGCAGGGCTGAAGTTAGTTGTTTTTCATTTTCCCTTGTATTTGAGGAGATGATCAAATCACTTGTGCTACTTGGGTTGTTGAATATTCATTCCATGAGGTAATGCTAAAGTTAATATCCTTACCGTGTATGTTGCTGAACGCTGCAGATGCGTCGATAGTTATTCCAAAGCTTATACCATTTATTATACCTATTGTTATTTATTTGCCATAATGATAGTCATAAGCTAACACTTATTCAACTTCTTTAATAGATCATGCACACATAAAGACCTAACTTAAATCTGTACTTGCCTCCAATGTCGATGAATTATACACCTTAATAATTTATTCATTCTGCAAAGTAATTGTTATGATTTATAGAGATTCTGGTGCGATTTCTGCTTTTTGGATAATTTGTTTACAACCAGATTTTTCTTTGCATTTCTGATCTGCTTTGTAAAAACCATTTATAGTGATAACTTAAGGATCCTTGTCATTCAAAAGTTCCCTTTACATTGATACAATATCAAGGGGCAGATGGTAAGGTCTAAAGCGTTACTTTGTTTAACTCTTAATTTGATGTTTCGCTTGCGAGCGTTGGCTGCTGAGATTAAAATATTGCGCATCTTGTATTTATGGATTTAAAATAATATTGACTAGAGCTTGGAAACGTATGCTTGTGTCACTAATCCAAATCTTCAACATCAATTTAGAAGCATATCCTAATAGATATCCTTTTACAATTTTAATGTATGCTAAAAATATACTATGCTTGAAGTTCTACAATCTGTAGATAACTTGTTGGAGGAACAAGTTCATCAACTTGCACTCCGCCCAGTAAATGATGTTCTAATACTGGTTCTTATTATGTTCTAGATTATCAAGATGTGGCAAAAAGTGTGACTGGTAAGCAGTTACATCATCTAAATTTTCAAAATATCTCTGGATATATTCAAGTCCCCTTTTAATGCCTTAGTGTTTCTGCCTTATATTAGACTTCATAAGTGAATTATGTCAAATTATGTTTTCTGTGACTTTTTTGAATCAATCTGAGCAAAACATAGAGGCGTAATTAGTCTCGATAAATTACAGTCATACAGCAATAGATGTCCAATGCTTGCTTGCTTGCAAGTTAGAACTAAGAGTGTTTAAAAATATGTTTCATAATTCTAGTTCAAGTAACACTATGCCATTGACTTGAATTGTACAAGAATCTCTGCTAGCATTTGTACTTAGAGTCAGACAACAACTAAAATTAGTTTTGCAATATATTGCCTTCTGTTGATATTGCTACTTGAAAAGTGATGCAAAAATTATATCTGCTAGAGAAGCGAAATGGGAATATTGCATTTCCATCTAATATACAAACTTGGGATCCTTGTTTATCAAATTATATCATAATCATTGTGTATTATGGATGCATTTTAATCATAAAATAACCCAATATTTGATCTGAGGCTGTTTTATGTTGCTTAGTTGCCTGTCATATTGTTACTCGTGCTTAGCTGATTTTTGTGTACAATTTACAACTGATGCTTCACTCTCTCTACCTCTAATTAAGCAGTCACAATATTTTCGTAGCAATACATCTTATTTGCAAAAATAGAGTGCTTGATCATATATGTTGGATACTATTCACTGGTATTGCTGAAGTATGTGTTGCTGTTTGCATTTGTTTTTTTTAATTATAAGTATTATTTGCATTCAACTGTGAACTATCGAAAAAGAGAGACCGTAATAGAAATGCTAAACCATATCCAAATTGTATCTCGGCTGAGTTGTTTCTTGGTTTATCTCAGTCATCAACTAATTGGTGCTTCAACTTCTGCATTAGAAAACGTATTTCTAGACATTCAAAAACTCTTTTTGCACTTATTTTTTCTGTGATTGGCATTCTAAGGCTTTGCTATTGAGTGTTGGCTTATTGAGCAGTTCATCTGAGTGCTAAATGTAACAAGGTGTATGCATACTTCGAAACAGCGCTTAACTGATCTGAGTGAGCGTAAATCAATGATTGACTGAAATTTTTCTCCTCTTTTATTCTTCGTAAAAATGTTTATATATTACGACTTGTTAGATTCTATTATTACTGATAATTAAGATAAATGATTCTTCGATTTTAAGCATAAGAGTGCCAGTTGATATAGCTTTATTCTAAGTATTCTGCATTCACTTACATTAATGAAATGATAAAAGTGCATTCACTTCTTGTGCCTTCAGAAAATCCTACATTACTAAGAATACTCAATATTACGAAAATTAAATTCGTTCTTTAACTTGTTTAAAGTCAAACATAAAGCCTATTATGCCTCAAAAATCTAGCACTATGAGTATTAAATTGGAAAGACTAGGTGTGCGTATATACCAACATGTTTAAGTACTCTATCAATACACAAATCATGTATAAGTTTGAGATATCATCATTTTACCATACTTTATATTCAGATAATGTAATAGTACATTAGTAGGTATTGATACAAAGATTACATCAATAAATAATTCTGCAATTTTGAAAATAGGCACAACTATAGCAAGTAATTATTAAGTTGCATTTGGCCAAAAATTTATGAGTTTGTTCTAGTTAACATTTAATCTCTGCACAAATTCACATATTATAAGTGTTTGAGATTTATAAGTCATAATAAACAAATTGATATTATTGAATAAATAAATGTATGCATGTTTCAAACAAAAGCACACCAGAATATATTTTTCGAAAAACAATTTATAGAACTTCTTTACATATAATAGAACTGACTCGAGATATTCTGTTATCTAAATCAATTTGATTTAGTAGGTCCGCTTTTTGTAAAGTTAAAATTGTAACCAGACAGCCTTAGCAAAGAAATACAAGAAAATTCTAGCTCAAGAATATAAACTAGATAATTAATCAATTCTCAACACATTTACATAATATTTAATAAGCATTACAATACAGTACATTATGTAATACATCAGATATCCAAATTTGGACAAGAAAACTAAGGGTTTAAGTAAAGTAATTGTATGCACATTACATCCTTAAAGAAAGATTAAAAAAAGAATTGTTATGCTGATATCAAGCAATAGTGTACTAGAATAAGGGATTGCAAAATAATAATCAATACTCTGGGATTTTATCTAAACCACTTTTCTTAAGGTAAAAGAACTTGACAACTCAGCTTTATCAGCACTGGTGAGTAAGAGATGCTGTTTGTACATAATTTGTACAGAACAAGCGTGCATGATTTAACGGCTGCTCATTGATACAATTAAAATATCTACGGGTGGTGTCAATTATTACAGTAAAAAAATAATTTGACATTGAGACTAATCAGATACCAGTTATTAAATAACCTCAATAAGTATCTCGTACCAATCAAAATGAAAGGAGAGCTTATGTTACAAGATAAGAAGGATTAGCCTTGCCATTTGTTTTGCACTGACATCAATAAATTAGGGACAAAGCTATTACATCATTTTCAAATTAGACTACTTCTAGTTTGATCCCTAATTAGAAGTAAGATAATGAGCACGAGTAAAAGCACTATATCATAATAGCAATATAAACAAGTTGTGGAATATGGAGGTTTAGCAATACCTATAACATAAAGAAGGAAGCATCACACTTACAAAAGTCTGTGGCTATTAATAAAAAATAGTTTTAATTAAAATCTGTTTTATAGAAGGATTTAAACCTACAATCTACACCTGATTGACAATAGTAAAGCTTTGCACAAGAATAGTTGTAAAGTTAGGCAACATGTTGTGTAGTATATCCAGGAATAAACAAGAGTGGATAGAAAAGCATTTAAGCCATCTTTCTAATGCTGGTGCTATGAAAAATTGATTCCTATAAGATGTTGTTTCAGATTTGCTACAGAATGGGTCAGAGATAGATGTTCAGTGTTCTCCATCATAGTCACCAGCACATAATGTAGATGCGGCAGCATTTCTGTATACTTCAAACAACATAATTTTTAAGGTAACACAAAGGCCGACAACATGCTCGGAACATAAATTCTACAATTGCGTATTTTGTAATTTCTTTTTTGGGATTGACTCATAGTTTCTGGTGTTATTCTGTAAACAAAATTTAAATCTTGGCAATGTAAGAGTTTACGCTGGTCAGTTTACTGCATTTTTCCTCTAAGTATTTGCATTTTCACACATTTTACAATCAATCTTTATTAAAATTTAAGGTATATAATCTCCTTTTTTTGAATGATACCCATTTACCAAATTTGATATAACTACATGCTTCTACAATATCATCATAATAGGCTTCCACACATTAAGCACTTCAGTTAGAAATTAATAATTATTCATTAGATGAGTTTTATAGTTTTATTTGCAAAAAGTATCATATTTGCTTTAATAATGAGGTTCTGAGGAAATATCTACTGAATTTTGTATCGAATATTGCCATTAGGAATACTTATAAGTAAGGTAAATACGATTAATATTCATTGAATATTACTTCATTAAAAATTGCTTAGTTAAAGACATTAGACCTTTTATCCTGCCAATTTTTTTGATAAAATTGACAGTTTAGATTGAAAATTTGTAATTTGCTGTAAAATAAACCTTAAAAAAAGGTCGAAGTGCAAAAAAAGTTATTGAAAATGTCATTTGACTTAAAAGTGGTATCTTGCTAGTCCTAAAGTTATTGAGGTTTACATGTGATGTAATCCCAATTTAATTAAATCTTGAGAATTTTCATATTCAGAATACTAAATTATGCACCTCAACTCTTATCAGTCGACTTTCTTTCATCCTTAACTATTCAATTCCCCTTCAAAATATATTGTACAGGTTGTCCCATTGTTATTTGAAAACATGTTTTTGCTTAAGTATATGTATTATGCTTCAGGTAGTTTGCCTAAATTCTTATCTTTTGAAGTTTTCTGAATTTTAATTGTATCTTATATGAGATGGAGATAAATTTGTATACTTATAGCATTCTTAGACAACTCAATTAGGTTTTATAGAGAGAAGGTTTGATTTAAAGATGTTCTGTAAAACGTCGTTGTTGAAATGTGAAATAATTGCTTTTAAGCCGGAATAATTACTGANTACAATCTACACCTGATTGACAATAGTAAAGCTTTGCACAAGAATAGTTGTAAAGTTAGGCAACATGTTGTGTAGTATATCCAGGAATAAACAAGAGTGGATAGAAAAGCATTTAAGCCATCTTTCTAATGCTGGTGCTATGAAAAATTGATTCCTATAAGATGTTGTTTCAGATTTGCTACAGAATGGGTCAGAGATAGATGTTCAGTGTTCTCCATCATAGTCACCAGCACATAATGTAGATGCGGCAGCATTTCTGTATACTTCAAACAACATAATTTTTAAGGTAACACAAAGGCCGACAACATGCTCGGAACATAAATTCTACAATTGCGTATTTTGTAATTTCTTTTTTGGGATTGACTCATAGTTTCTGGTGTTATTCTGTAAACAAAATTTAAATCTTGGCAATGTAAGAGTTTACGCTGGTCAGTTTACTGCATTTTTCCTCTAAGTATTTGCATTTTCACACATTTTACAATCAATCTTTATTAAAATTTAAGGTATATAATCTCCTTTTTTTGAATGATACCCATTTACCAAATTTGATATAACTACATGCTTCTACAATATCATCATAATAGGCTTCCACACATTAAGCACTTCAGTTAGAAATTAATAATTATTCATTAGATGAGTTTTATAGTTTTATTTGCAAAAAGTATCATATTTGCTTTAATAATGAGGTTCTGAGGAAATATCTACTGAATTTTGTATCGAATATTGCCATTAGGAATACTTATAAGTAAGGTAAATACGATTAATATTCATTGAATATTACTTCATTAAAAATTGCTTAGTTAAAGACATTAGACCTTTTATCCTGCCAATTTTTTTGATAAAATTGACAGTTTAGATTGAAAATTTGTAATTTGCTGTAAAATAAACCTTAAAAAAAGGTCGAAGTGCAAAAAAAGTTATTGAAAATGTCATTTGACTTAAAAGTGGTATCTTGCTAGTCCTAAAGTTATTGAGGTTTACATGTGATGTAATCCCAATTTAATTAAATCTTGAGAATTTTCATATTCAGAATACTAAATTATGCACCTCAACTCTTATCAGTCGACTTTCTTTCATCCTTAACTATTCAATTCCCCTTCAAAATATATTGTACAGGTTGTCCCATTGTTATTTGAAAACATGTTTTTGCTTAAGTATATGTATTATGCTTCAGGTAGTTTGCCTAAATTCTTATCTTTTGAAGTTTTCTGAATTTTAATTGTATCTTATATGAGATGGAGATAAATTTGTATACTTATAGCATTCTTAGACAACTCAATTAGGTTTTATAGAGAGAAGGTTTGATTTAAAGATGTTCTGTAAAACGTCGTTGTTGAAATGTGAAATAATTGCTTTTAAGCCGGAATAATTACTGAAAGAAACAATATTCAGGAAATTTTCAAATGTTACTTGTACTTTAATAAAAGTAAGGAGCACTTTGCTGATACTAGGAGATTAATCAAAAGTATTTTCAATTAGTTTTTAGAAAAGCTGTACAATTCAAATGCAAAGGTTAAGAAAATATATTTCCATAAAACGAGACTATATGAAAGTCTTATAAAACTGTTTTCATGAACATAGCTAAATTTGGCTAAAAAAAAAGTACGGCGCTATTATATTTAAATCTTTGTGATAATTGAAAGCGGTCTTTTAGTTGGCCAGGAGAGAAATATTTTTCTCAATTTTATTAAGAAGAAATATTGGTAATCTTCATTAGAAATATTAAGCTATAATGTTTAAGCAATTTATACTATTCAACAAAAGGATTATCAAAATAATTGTAAATTGATGAGGAGGATACCTGTGATTGGTAAAGTGTTAATTTTCGTGAATTTCAAATCTAAGGTAGTAGAATAGATTTAGAGTTCAGACCACTTACATTCTTTTTCTTGATAAAAGCACCAATAAAACTAAAACATATTTGGAGTTAAAGTTCAATCTATATTTTTAGAATATGTATTGACTGTTTATATATACTAAGGCAAATGCAAGCCCAATGATTAAAGAAAATAAAGATTAAAAGAATGCATAGCAGTGAGTTATCATTTATCAATACTTTATGTGGTGATATGCTGAATGATTTTAATTGAGTTGCTATGTGACGAATTATATTAGGGTAGAAATAATAAATCACTTTGTCCTGATTTAAGGATAATGGCCTTGAAAATGAATAGATAAGGAATCGTAAGATCACTTATTGACAAAGTAAATGATAACATTAAAAACAGTTCAAATTTTTTGAGTTGGTTTAGATATATATTGAATTTTTAATGCGGATAAACAATTAGAGTTTAAGGAATGATAAATGAAAAATTAATGCCCAAAGTAATGACTACTTATTATATGGAGGAACCGCAGCGATATTAAATAAAATAATAAAACCAACTTTATTGATATTAGCCACCAAAACAAATGATGATGAAATTGGCGGCTAAGATCATATTAACAATGGCATCCATGGTTCGAGGATGTTTCAAATGAGGGTACAGAAAATTAAATTCTTTAGCTGCAGTTGAAGAAAGAAGATTTAAGAAATCAGAAGAACTGTGATAGGAGGTCGTGAGGTAAGGAAGAGATTCAAAATGGCAAATGGGCTTTGGTATTTTAAGAAAATATGAATTTTAGAGGTGAGGGTTGGACTAATCTTGGGAAGCTCGCTGTCAGACAGAAAGAAATTCAATTTAATATGCCAATTATGATTCAGGTGATAGGACAGAACATTCTAGCTCTATTTTACAAATTGCAATCTGTCTTCATTAAGACAGCCATTCTTGAGTAATTACAAGTAGGGGATTAAGAAATTTTGAATTTATTTAATCTTATTGGTTTTGAGACAGAAAGCAATGCTTAAATGAATAGGTATAGACCGAATAGTTTCTAGTTGAAGACTGACGTATTAATTTTTGAGTATGTGAAATGAAAAGTAGAATTTAATTATGGCTGAAATTTTGCTTAAAGATAGATATAAAATTATGTCTATCCATACTGATGCTCATGATAAACATACTTTCAGCATTTTGAGCGTTTTACAAATTTAGATATTGTACTTTTTTAGAATCTACAATCACAAACATCGAAAATCTGATAACCTCTCAAATTGTTCTCTCGTGATATCAAGCAATTCAATTACTAAACAATATGTGTTTCTTTATATGTATTTTATTTTCATATAATTTTAGTTTATCCAAGCTATGATCCTAAGAAAGAGTTCGTTTTTGTAATGAATAGAAATTAATTGCAGTTAAGCTAGATGGATTATCAAAAAAATCAATTTTCTAATATTTAGTTTCATTATACTGTAATTTTTTAATAACACAGTCTTCTCATGGGAATAGGATAGCTTGGAAAATGTTTATAAATACTAATATTTGCAAATAGAACATTTGCCAATATGAATTTCTTTGACCTTCCTAAAGTGCAAAGTGCTTAAGCAAGCTAATTAGTTATTTCTCCCTTGAACAAATCGTTCACATATTACAATTTCTCTAAAATTCAAGTTATTAAATTAACAATTATCCTTTCCAAAAAATGAGTAAACTCAAGATAAAGTGATAATAATGTTTAGTAATAAAATAAATAATATTAATAAAATATCAGTCAAGCTAAAATATGCGACCTTTTATAAGAATTTTTTTACTAAACAATGAAAATCGTCATTAAATTCTTTCAATGTAATAGCAATTTAAATTATTAGTTCTCTTTATTTAATAAAGCACTCAAGTCGAAAAAAATTGGAAAAAATACCTTTCCATAAACTTACCACTAAAATTTAATTTGAAGCCTGAAGTAAATATAACAATTATATTTTAGCAAACCCATATGCATATTCATAAAGTTGATTATAAACTTCCAAAAAAAACTCTTTTTTTTTAAGGTCCTAACTCTGATTGATGCTACAGCATGTATTATTGTTCTCTATTCCAGTAATGAAACCTTCATGTGTATTAAGTGTGTAACTTGAACTCCAAAAATTCACTTTTCAATAATAATTATTTAACATGCAAATATGTGTAAATTAATATTATTTACTGTGCCTAAGGGTATTTGTTACAGATTTATTGAAAACTAAATATATGCAAAACAATCTAATTTTAATAATTTAAATTATGAAATTTTCAATAATTATTCCTGCTGTTATTATTGCAATCATTTTGAATATAATGAATGGATTGGATTTTTTTTTAAATTTCTCTTCCATTTAGTAATATGAGAATTGTCAGTATTTAGATGTGGATATTAAGGGACCTGAAGATATGCAATAATATAATAGGACAACAATTATTGTTGGTTCAGGGAATTTTTAAAAGCTTTATGCCCAAAATAGAATAGAATTAGAATAATAAGGAATCTATGCTATAATCAATTCTGATTAATAGGATTTTAAAATTATGCAATTATAAATGATTGGATATCCAAAGGATGTGGCATTAAACATTCATGGGATTTACCTTAAAAAATAAAACAACAGAGATTATTTGTTTTTGATCAACCATGCATATAAATATGGTGGTGAAAGGATAGAAATATTTCAGGTATCAGAACAATTAGATCTAACATATTAACATTCTATTTTAATGGAACAACAATATAACGGAATTTTGAATGATTTGATTGTTATTGATAAAAATAGATTATTAGCAACTATGTCTATGCCATTGTCTGACCCTATTGAAGGTAGATCTTCGATGTCATTTTGGAACTTTGCTTAAACTTTATTTATATTTTTAGCTGGACTTAAATAAACCTATGTTATAGATTGCAGATTTGAAACTACTGAAGTATTGATACATCCATAATGCAAAAAGCTATAAGAAACATCAGGAAATATGTTAAATGGCATAACATGGAACAGACTTAACACAATTTGGGTTGCAGATTCTGCTTAAAAAGGGTTTAGTGAATACTTAATTAAAGGTGAAACTTTAGAATTTTCAAGATTTTTATAAACAACAACTCGAATAGATAATGTAGAATTCCAAGAAGAAACAAATACGATCATTTTTGGTTAAGGATTACAATTTTCTGGTTTTTTTTCATTATTATCATTTATGAAAACAGTAGATTTATAAAGAGATACTTAATTTGAACATTGGGGATCTTTAAGTTAATTTAATTTGACATCAAATTCGTTTGAGGTACTTGTTTAAAGTAAGAATCTATCCAAGGGAATTTCAGGAGGGTTAGCAAGTGGACAAAATTTATTCATTGGAAGTTGGTGTGACATCTCTGTTATGGTTTGTTAAAAAAAAAAGGAATAATATTAGTGAAATATAACTAATTATTAAAAACATAAATGAAATTGTATAAATTAATCATTCAATAGAATCCAAAAATGTTAACCTCTTTGTTCTTCAACAATCGGTTTGTATATTTGAGTAAAAATAAATGTGTTGCTTTAAATGGTTTGGTCTTATTAATTTTATTGAAAAAAAACATTTGCATTTTATTATGGGTTTTTTTCATATTCATTATATTAATACTCCCTTGTTCAAGTTATAATATTAATAGGTTAATTGGCTTCATCCTATATCATAAATAGGATAGAAAGAATTAATATTTTTATCAATTTTACTAGCTTTGACTTTCATATTTTTTTCCATAAAGGAGAAAAATCTTAAATAGTTTGAATTAGATAAAAAATGCTTCTTTATTGAATTTAAAAAATAATTATTTGTAACTTTATTTATTTGCTTTATCAAAAACTTATAAATAAGAGAAAACTGTATTACTTATTGAATATAATTCCCACTCTTTCTCAATAAATTGTTTAAAGTTCAGAACTATTAAACTAATTTACTATGAAATTTAAAAAACAAATAGTAGTTTCATTCTCTAGATTTTCATTTTATCTGAAACTAATAATACTCAATTTCATTTAAACATTATTTTTATACTCATCTAAATAGATTAATCAAATTGTCTTACATGCTCATGGGTTAATTAGTGATTCGAATTTTTAAGCAATAATTTATAATTATTAAAGCTAAAAAAAATGAAATTATTAAAAACATAGTTATAATACTTCCAGGAATCTAAGGAGTAGTTAGATTACCAACCTTAATAGATCAAACTGAATGAGTAAAAATAGCACAAATTTTGACTACAAAAATCAATTAGTTTCATTATTGGTTCATAACTTAATTAATTTAATTAAACAATAAAATAATTCATTCACTTAATCATATTAATTTTACATTTTGCAAGGTGATCCAATTTTAAATTCCTAACTTGAATTATTATCTACTTATTCTAACTGATGGGCAGTAAACACCCTAAGCACAGTAAATTGCTAATGAAATGTAAGATTCTCCTTCTCTTTTTCTCGATAAGCTAATCTCAATTTATGGTGTACCTACCTGAATAAATCTAGTTTCGAAAGATTTATTGGGCATTTGCTTCAATTAGAATAGAATAACATTCAAATTATTGGCATCATTAATTATTATCTAATAAATAATTTTTAGGTTGTTTTATTCATGATAAATAGAATTTGCAAGGATTTTCACCGAAGAATTTTAGACATATGATCGAAACTTTTTACTTTAAGATTAAACAAAGTCCTTTTATACCTTATCATTGTGATATTCCAAAATAATTATTAGCCATCTTCAGAAATATCTACATAAATTAATTTTCTCAGATATTCAATAAATAACCTTATTATAAAATTATATTTTAACAATTATTATTAATAAATGCATATAATATTTTTGTATTCACTTTGCAATCCATATTTAAATTTATGATATAAAGCTTTGGAATCTTATTAAAACATATATAAAATAAATTCTGGAATTGGAAATATAATATAAATTCTTCAAATTTCTGCCAATGGATTTATATACATTTTATGCTCCAAAAACTAGTTGAATATATGAACTTTGAATATGTAAAGCCAAATATAGAACTAATAATACTTTTCAATCAATAAAAATATAACTGCTTTTCTATATAAACTTGAGCGGAAGACAAACTATTTCGGATTACGTTAAGAAATTCTAATTATCGTTCTTAATTTCAAAATACAGAATCATGCAGAGAGGCTCTAAAAAGATGAATTAAAAGAGGCTATATTGATTTTATAAACTTTTTTGTCATTTAAATAAACTAAATTTCTTTGTGCATTTAGAAACTAATCAAATATCAAAATAGTTCTTTAACATTTAAAAAGATGCTTCTGGCTAATCTGTGGATGTCATATGTCCAGCATTGTATACCACACAAAAGTGTAACAATTTATATGACTTAATCGTGCCAGCAGTTTCTTCCTTTTAAGTTATTGGATTAATAAATTTCCATTAAGTTTTTTTCTGTTTCTTCCAAGTTGGCAACTCTTACCATTTTAATAAATTTACCCATTATTCAACTCCAGCAAGGGTAACAACGGTATCTAATTAACCTTAATAAACAAAAACTTTAATTTTTTCTTAAAGCAAATATTCTATTGAAGGAAGGACAGAAATGCTTTGATCCTCTGCAAATGCAGCATAAATCTCTTGATTACAGGAAATAAAAGTGATATTTGCAGGAAGATCAAATTATTCTTTATGGTTATTAATAAAATCTTCATATTACACTCCAACATCAGTGTTATAAAACTGAATATTATATCGGAAATTTGGTCCAATAATCTAGTTAAACATTATTTCTGCATCCCTTATTGCAATATATTTATCAAACTCTTTATTTTCAGCAGCTTCTAGTGCTTCAATCCCAGATTTCATCATTTTGCCATATTGGTACTAGTCTATGACACCATAACTTAATAATTATGGAACTGTAGGTATAACTTAAACTTTTGGATGTGACCATGCTCCTCCAATTCCAATTCCAACTAAATTTATTTTAGTTTGTTTTTTTATTTTTTCTGCTAATACAGGAATATAATGGCCAGCATAGCTTTCACCCCATATATGCATTCTTGCATTTGCCAGTTCTTTATTCAATTCAAAAAATTAAGTCAATAAATCAATGACATAATCAGCTGCATCCCAACTGCTATTCATCATTTCATCTCTGGTCCAATAACTCATCCCTACAGAAAAAGGTTAATCTAAGTACAGAAGATTAGCTTGCTTATTCCATGATGTTTTCTAAAGTATTTATAGATTAATACCCTTGCATGTAATTTTTAGTCATCATCGACTAAAATTGGCCCATTTTCATTAAAATTACTATCCTAAGAAGAGCAGCCTGGACCTCCATAAATCCAAACAATTAACTCATCAGTTGGCTTTACATCACTCTTTCTAGTTGTTGCTTCTTTCAAATATAGCGAATAAAATAATCTATTTTCTGATTTTGTTAAATCTCCAACACTCGCATATCCTGTTTCTATGTAATAATTGACTGAAGGCAGGAGGTTTTTATAGAAATCTAATTGATCATAATTATACTTGTTTGATCTTTAGAATAGATCACACATTGGCCGAGCCAGATCAAAACAACTAATTCCGCAAAAAATAACATAAGTAAAATGAAAAGATTTTATTCTTAGAAATTTATACACTTTACGATTACCTAAGGCATATCGTCATCTTAAAAATAAATGGACAATAGTAATTAATATTAACATCTATTAGATGTATTTATAATATGTAAATTAAAAAGATCTTCATCACAGAGAAAAATTAGAATTATAAAGGATAGTTACTATTGAAATAATATTAATTTAATTTGTTATTTCTACATTTAATCATATTTTGATTACTATTAGAGCATTTATTATTTTATTTGCAAGAGTATTTGTGAAAATTATAAAAATTAAGTTGCAAAACTTAATCAAATGCTGCTCCAATTATGAAATATTGAAAAGTTTATTTAAAAAAAATGAATTTTTATATCATTTTTGAATATAGTATACAATAGCTAAATTGGATGGTATAGAATCAAATGGAATAAATATAAAAATTCGAATTTTTGAATGATAAATTGTAGTAAAAATTGGGAGATTTTGTTTTAAATCATAGAAGTGATAATACAGTTTATGATATAAAGGATTCAATACCAAAGCGGAGCAGCCATTGATTAATTTATGTCTTTTTATAATCTCTAATTTTGATAGAACAATGGTTTGTCTTGCTTGGAATGTTCTAAAATTTTCTTCTATATTTTTGGTTTTATTTTTCCAAAATGAAGGAAATCTATTATGAAAATTAGATCAAATTGGATGATTGGTCAGCATTGTTTAAAATAGTTCAGGTAGATTTTAAAAGTAGGATCCATTATTATTTAATTAACACACATCAGTGTATAATGTGAGTTTTTCTAATTACTTCTTGAATCTGTCAATTAGAATGATTTCCTTCAGAATTGTTTATTTCAAAACTTTACTAAAGTTGAGCTATTGAACTTTAGTTATATTCTCCATTATATAATTAAATATATCAATAATATCTCTCGACACAACAATCGGTATGCTGTGATTATATTTGCTATTAACAGAAAGAATTGATGATATTGAAAAGAAGGGAGTATTAAATATGTTTAGTTTAAAAATTCCCTTGTTTCTTTGTTAACTGGAATTTATTAGAATTAAATTATCTCAAGGAAAATTTATTTATTGAATTCAATTTACAATTTTAAATCGAAATATGATTGCATTCCTGACTCAATTTTGGGTATTAGTCTAATTGTTGAATAAATATTAAGTTTTAGGGAGATGCTAAATATTTGTAAGTGAAATCTAAATTCTAATATACCCTTTATTGAAATTTTGATGTTCAAAAATGGAGTCTGAGTGATAAAAAATTCCATTCTTTAGAGATATTATTTTTGTAAGAATTATAATAAACATTATAATAATTTTTTTAATAGAAAATGGCTTAAATATAGGAATTTACTCTTCGTTTTTCAATGACACATTCAAAAAATGAGCTTTTGGATTATATTAATGAAAGAAAAATCTATTTCCCCCATAATTTAGAATCCAGACTTTTGAAATGGAATTGTTACCCATTGATTAATTTCGATACGGAGGAATTAGAAGTTAGTTTTGGTGTTTTCTTCCTTTAGATTTTGAAACTATCTTAAAATTAGACAGTGAGGGATTAATTTTCAGATTTACTAAACTGTTAGTTAAATAATTTGCAGAAAGTAGATTTCATAAAAATTTGTCATCGGATTTTTTAGAAAGAATCATTAAACCCTTTTCCTCAAAGTAATGAGTTCAAAAGTCTTGGTGATAATCTTAAAGAAAGTTTTGTTTATGAAAAGCATATTTCAGATAAGCCTCCTTCCTATTATAAAAGTTAAAATGGCAATTTAGTTTTCGAAATTAATGAATAAGAAGTAAAATATCGAATTTTATTATATAAAAAAGAAGATGAATCAAGAATTACAACTGCTATCATATTTTCAACAAACAATGATATTAGAAGAGTGTTTCCATTATAAAATTAAGTTTTTATTCCCAATAGCTTCAATTAAAGTCAATAAACTTATACTCCCTCACATTTCATTCCTAATAATCAAAAATTTGTAATTAATCAATCTGTATAATTTTAAGAATAGAATAATAATTATGTGGAAGGAAGGGTAGCAAATATTTAACCTTTAAATGGATAACCAAAATAATCATCTATGAAAGACAGCCCAGCTTTTTAATAAGTGGTTTTCTAATAATAACCATTCTAATCACAATAATAATAGCATTAATAATAGTAATATCAAAAATAATAATAATAAAACTAATAATAATAATAATAATAGCCATACTAATACTAATAACAATACCAGCAATTAAACTAACCTTAATAGTACTAATAATAATAACCTTAATTTTAGTAACCATAATAATAATATCAATAGTTTTAGAAGTAATCGAAATTATCAACAAATTTTGTTAATGTTAACACTAATACTAATATAATAAACAATAGTTATCTTAATTTTAATTATAATAATATTGCTCATACTAATACTTTTAATTTTTAATTAAACGGAAATCAATAGGTCTCTTAACTAAAGCCATAGCAAAAATCAAATGATGTGCTTTTCATATCAACAGAAACAATATAATAGTTTCAAGATAAATCAAGAGCGCCAATTTTTAATTCATCTTCACTTCCTTGTAATTCAAGTTAATAGAACACATCAGCACAAGTAAAACCTGAAGAAATAGATGTACTTTCCACATAACAAATAAATCAAATTTCCTAAGTTGAAAAAGATACTTAGATGCCAACAGAATCCAGAATTTAAACTAATATAATGGCAAGGAGATAGTAAGAACCTGTATCTTGCTAAATATGCACTATGAATTATAGTTTTGATCCGAATGAAGCCTTAATGACTCCTTGCTGCCTTCGGAAAGTTCATGCTGATTGCTATTAACAGGACTTACATTAAAAAGCTATTTAATTTATGAATTTCGATCTAGTCACTTGTTACTCTTGTAAGAATTCATTAAAAGGTTAGAATGATTTTTTAAAAAACAATATTTCTATTTCACTTTATGGTGAAATCGTAAAACGGACATTATTAGCACAAATTCCTCTGAAATGTTGTAAATGTTAACAGCCAATTCAAGCTAGCTAGGAAATATTAAGTAAATAGGTTATGCTAAAATGTTTATCATGCGATACTAAGCTCTGTAGCCTGTGTCGTCAAGAGTATCATGGAGAAAACTAATAGGTAAAAGCTAAAATTATAAAAGAATTAATCCTGTCCAAGCCTATTAGTCGATATTTAAAATGCATTTAAGAATATGCCAATTCTTGTTTGTCCTTTTTGTTAGTTAATACAAACAAAGGATGATAAATGTAATCATGTGAGATGTTTCAGTTGCTAGAAAGACCTATGTTCAGCTTGTTCTGTAGATCGAATTCCGATACTGGCTCATGGAAACCATTATCACAGAGAAGGATGTCCTGACTATAAGCCATGGATAAAAAATAATATAGTAGTTAAATAAAAAGAATTCGATAAATAAAGTTGTTAAAGATGTAAGGAATCAGGTAAACCTTGCGAATATCCAATGAGTTTGTAAGAGTACAAGAAATTAAAATAGTTTTGATGTGAAACAATCTCAATTTTATTATCATATAATAATCTTTTATAATTAATAATATTGTCTCAAAGACTTTGAAGATTCCTTTATTTTTATTACATTTATTCTTGTAATTTTATTAAATAATTCCCTAATTCCTCTCCAAATCCAAACCAATATCCCATTTTCCAACATAAACTTGCGTATTGTGCCTTTTAATTTATATATGTCAAATTACATACTCTAATATTGGATTTTAATCTATTCTAGTCAACAATTTTTTATTTTCTAGTACTTTGTTGAATTGTCTTAGTTGTTGGCTTAAAATTGGAGCATTAGTTATTGAATCGGAACATTTATCTAATGCATTTATATAATGATTTAATGCGAGCCAAATTTATTTGTGAAAACAATAAGAGTATGGTATGTACATAAATTCTTATAATTAAAATGAGAAATCTTCAAAGTAAATAACAATTTAATCAGCACCCTCTAAGCATCTCTTTAGCTAATCCATAGTAATTTAAGATTGATCTTTTATGGCAAATTAAAACCCATTAAAAGCTTGTAAAGCCACATTCATATCCTGGAATATAGCGCTTAAATTTTAAATATTCATTTATATTTTTAACAACATCTAACCAACTTCATAGCCATACAATTGATACTATTCCTCTTTGAAGAAATTGAATTAGTCACCTAATATATTCAAATGCGAGTTTACTAAATATTTATGATTCAAAAATTAAATCAATTACTTGCCTCCATTACTCATCTATTTCACATACAATAGTATTTTTTAATTTTAACATCAAATTGTTGAGATAACATATGACCCATTATTACTAGGAGTTTTATTTGGATAGATCCTTGTTTAAGTCTACCTTAATAGATTATATAATTTTTCCAAAGGCATTTCCAAGTTCAGTCCATCCTATTTGCAGCTAGTCTTAATCCTACTTATTTGATAATTCAACAGATTTAGAAATATATGCTAAGAAACCATCACAATCTAAATTTTCCATATAATTGATTTCATTTGTTTAATACATTAATCCTAAGCCAGCAAATATGTTTTTTATAATTATGCTGCATTTTTCTTGATTTGAATAAACAGCCTAGACATCCTGAAGAACTAATAGAGTAATAATTAAGCACACTTTATTCATTTAATAAAATTTATGAAGTGCGAGAAAAATTATTAATCAATCTTTATAAGATTAATAGAAACAAGTTATCAATATAAATGTATTGTATAAAGTATCAAAAATATAATTGGTTATAAAGTGTTATCATAAATGTTTAATGATATTTTTTAAGTAAATAAATTAATCTCGTAATGATTTATAAACCTGACTTATTAAAATCGGACAAGTAGATAGATAGAACAATTAAAAATTTAATTTATGAGGGAATTAATTATTAAGTTTATGAAAATAACAATGGTCATCTTATAAAGTAATACAAATTTGAAAATGTTTATGATCTAAATGAATTGATTAAAACTTTAGAATTAGAATAGTACTTAAGTAAGCAAACTGACATTCTTTATGCTCCCCAATATTATTATGTAGAAGAAAACACTACGATTTATATCCAATACTAGTTATTTAATAATTTGCTGAAATAAGTGATATAATAAAACTAAAGTGATGCCCTAAAATAAAAGGAGGATTAAGAATTATATAATGAATTGATTGATGATGAAGAAAAGATTTATGAAGTAAACCCATAGGATTATGCAAAAGAATTGCAACTCAAAACATAGAATCTTAAAGTAACCTAGAATTTAATAAACACTATCATAAAATTATATGAATTGGAATTAAATGGTTTCATGATTAAAAACATAAAGCCAACCAATATTATCTATAATATTGAGAATTTGTAATTTATGGATAACTTTTTACAAAGCATCAAATTTGAAGTTAGTCTAGAAGAGTATCTAATCTTGGATTTTGTAAAACAATAATACTAGAGTAATAATTAAAGCTTAAAAAATCTTGGTAGATGTTACATGCAATTGTACTTATTAATTGAGATTGAAGATTAACAAGAAACTGAGTATTTAGAATTGATCAATAAATATTATGGTTCTAAAATCTATAATTTAATCAGAATAATGATAGAAAGCGAGTATAAATATTTTACTTCGATAATGCAATCTCAAGAATTTTTGGAGCTAATTACTCCGCTAAATATACTTGATAATAAGCAGCTATTTATTCAATTTTTTGAAAAAAAATAGTAAAAGAAAGATGAGATTTGGGAAAGGATAAAAAAGAATTTTGAGATTGATTAATAATAACAAGTCTGGTAAAAGTATTAAAAGTCAAATTTATAATTCATGATAAAAGAAAAAGAAATCGCAAAATATAGAGTAGAATATAAGGTTTCTAATATTAATACGCATAAACTTGAGTATGATATTACAGATATGGTGATAATTAATCAGCAGGTTAATTAGAATTATGAAAGAGCCATCCTCCTAACAACTATTTAAGGAAAAATAATTGTTCATTCTAATACAACTTTATTAAATATATTCTAATGTAGTCTTAAATCATTGAGATCAGCAATCAAATTCAAATTGGAGAAAAATATATATGTAGCAATAGCAGGAGACGATAAAATCGTTTATGTTTATAACTAGAATGAGCTTTAGAATTCATCTCCAAAGATATTTTGCTAAATTGCCAATGAAACAACAAAGCAAATTTATTCATTACTCTCTTATGATAAGTTTTTGATATTTGGTGATGAGGTGGGATCAATTTATATTTATAAGAATTGGACATTTAGTACTAATTTGAGTGCTCATTCAAAAAGATGCAATAAACTTTATTATTTTAATAATTAATTAATCAGTGTCTCCCATGATCAAACAATTAAGATTTGGGACAGTTTTAATTTTTTAATCAAACATATAATTACTGGACACACAGCAAATATATTAAATTTATTTATCTTTGATTATTATATCTATTCATTCTCTGAAGATAAGATGATTAGATTTATTCAATTTAACAATACAACATAAAAATATGATTTTGTCTACTAAACCAAGTTTGATTCTGCAATATAATCCTGCATATAGTATAATGAATAGATAATGATATTTGGAAATAAAGCTGGATAATTAATAGTTTACAATATAAAGGATAGAATGATTTTGCATACACATAAAGTTCATTTGAATACTATATTAGCCATCAATTGGATATCTCATTCTTAAGGTTAATTTATAACCATAGGATAAGACAAGATATTTAGAATTAATGCAATATAAAACTGACTAATTAATATATGTACTAAGTATCATTTTAAAATTAATATGAAATTGCATGGTTTCGTTCTCACTTTCTCTTAAAAAGTGTAAATAGTTGATATCGTCATAAATATCTCAGATTTCAATCAATATGTAATAGTAAATTTTCAAATGATAGTTTTAGAATAAGTAGTTATTAATAAGTATTGACTTTTTATTGGATAATCCCATTATAATCATTAGGAACTACTTAATAGATATAGAAGTAAAACTGAAGAGCTTAATTTCAATCCTAACAAATATTATAATTATAGATTCAATAGATTTTTTTTGGAATGAAATCAGTCAATCTTTAGAACCAGTGTAATGAGATTTATTCATAAAAACGGGTAAGATTTTCATTCTAATTAGAAAAGATTAGAGAAATTGTTGAGCGGTCAAACTTTATACATTAATTAAATGCTTTTTCTTTTATTCTATAACTTCACAATTCCTTTCTAATAGTTTATTCTATTTTTAATTTAACATCTATAACTTTTTTATTGTGAATATTGATATTCATAAAATTCTTAGTTTAGATTTAAATTTAAAGTTATTAAATATTTTTGATGTATTTAAAATTAATTTTTAGTATATAGTTAAGTAAATCATAAATAAAGAAGTCATCTTAACAAATGATAATAAATTTGATAAGTTTCCTGTATAATAATTACTACATTTATGATCATTTAATAAATAGAAATAATTTTCTGTTGATAGAATCATTGAATCAAATATTAAAATTTTGAAAGTTGTAACGATTTTAAAATAAATAATTTGTTTGAAAAAGTTATTTAAATAAAATAACAATCAATTTTTTTAGGCAATTATTCTTTTGATTAGAAATTGAATTTAGCTGACAATGTCTTATGGTTGCACATTGAGAATTTATGAACATGTTTCCACAATGACTGTGGCTTACATCTTTTTTAGATTCATATATTCTGTGCATATTCCTTTGATCCAATGCCAGCAATCTCTTAATTAAGGTTTGGAATGTTCAAATATATCTTTTGGTGTTAATTTAACAACTAAGTCTTATACGCATCCGATAAACTTATCTTGCTTAATGCATTTTTATTATAATCTATGAACCTCTTGGATAACATTTTCTGTTTTCAACATGTCTGCCAATTCTTCAAAAATTCGTTTCCAACAATTCTGATCATCATATTTAGACCTAGTCCTTTTTCTACTATAATCTTGAGTTTAATCTTATTCATATGTGATATCCAATAAAGTAGAATGAATGGATTTATTTCTAAGATGCTTTTGCTATGATAGGTTATCAATGGTAGCTTCTAATTCTTGAATCTTATATATGAGTAAATCTCTTTATTGAGTAAGCTCCTCAATAATTTGCATCATATTTTATTTTGTTTTGCTCAATTCATCTTGAAGGAAGTTGATTTGTTATCGTAACTATTCACAGTCCTCATCTTGTGATTCAGTCAATTGCAATACATCTGAAGACGACGATAGATACTTGCGATCGTCTTCGTTATTTTTTTGAATTATTTTCAAATTATCTTTGTAACACTACAGTTTCCTTTATATTAGTTAATAGTCTTATTAATCTTCTTCCTAAGTATTAAGAGTACAAACTGAAGGAATCAATTGAGTGGGATGTGAATATTGCTATTATTGTTGTTATCTGTACATAAATGAATTTTAATTATGTTGCTAACTTGTAATTTAATATATATTTGGATTAATATTATAAATGTTCAATCTGCATTATAATCGTCCAATTTCTTAAGCAATTATTGTTCGTATCCAGCACTGTAATACTGAATGATTTCTGGGGGATAATAGGAATTGATTTCGTCGATATATTGTCTTAATTTGGAACCTGGATTAGCTTTGATTTCTTGGATCTTCTTTAATCCTTCTGACAATACAAATTGTCTAAAGATCATAAGGAATGTTATACTTTTTGGCTGCATTATCATTAGGCAATGTCTTTTAGAATTGATGCAAGACATATTATAAAATATCAGGAGGGGCTTCTGAGATTAATGGTTCAAGAGCAGGCAAATAAGTGCACATTTATAATATGGATTTCAAAGCTTAACTTGATTTCTTTTTGAGATCTTCGCTGGAATCAGGGAATTTATAAACCTAAGATAGGAGGAGTAGTTTTACAGCTAACAAATGGGATGGAACATCAGCTTCAGCCATGGCTCTTGAATGATCTGCTGAATGTCCACCAATCATTCCAAGAGACCAAGCAGAAGCACTCTTGACTGATTGATCAGGCTCTTTTATTAATGCATCTTTTAATGGGGCAATTCCTTTTGCTGCTATAATTCCCATGGCCAAAGCTTCATCAAAGGCTCCGATGAATCCGAGTGTCATGATGCCTGGTAAGCGTGCATCTCCTTTAGCTTCATTGATATAATCAACAATTGACACAACAGCTCCTGCACTACAGATCATTTTAGCTAGGTCTTGGGATTATCTTGCAATTTCTCTAATGCATGTAGCTGCAGCTTTTCTATTGATTAGATTAATAGCATGTACCTAACTCCAGGATCTGTGTCTTTTAATCTATACAAGATCTTGGGGAAGATATCCACATCTACAATAGCTTCTGCCAAATCTATAGTGTGTTTTGCAATATTGGCCAAACAAAAGCAAACAGATCTCTTCAACTCAGCATCATGATGAGGAATCAAGGCACTGAGAAATGGCGCAGCACCTGCATCCACCACATTCTAAGCCAATTCGGCTGAATGCTTACAGATTTCTGATAAAGCTCCTGCTGATACTCTTTTCAATGTGGTTTCTGGTTCTTGAATACAGAGCACCAATAATGGAACAGCTCCTGCATCTACTACAGCCTAAGCCAAATCTGCTGTGTGTCTAGACGGAATATATGTGTTATGCTTACTTGGCAATGTAACGGAGAGCACTAGCTGCAGCTTCCTTCACACTTGGATCAAATTCTTCTAAACATTAGACCAAAGCTTCCAAGGCTCCAGAATTCACAACTGCCATTGCCAAAGTTGAAGAGTGTTTTGCAACGCATCTAAGTACGAATGCTGCTGCCTTTTTGTAGAAACGATTTTGTTCTCCCAACGAACTCACTAATTATGGCAATATTTCATTGGAAACAACTGCTTCAGCCAAATCTTCTGAATGCTTAGCCAATCTTCCCAATGCCAATGCTGCTGATTATTGAATTGATGGCACACAATCTAAGAGCAAAGGTCTCAATAAGGACATCACACCTAAAAGATTGGTTACGGTTTCATTACCTGCTGATTGCAATGCCTCAATATTTTATGGTCTTTTTGCTAACTCAGCCACTGTCTACACAAATTAAACTCTTGCTTTTTGATAAACTTCGAAGGGTTGTAACACTGCACGACTCATTTTAAATTTATTATTGAAATAAATTATACATTCAGATCATGTTAAATAATCAAAAATAATATATTATTTATTCCTCATCTTTCTTTTTTCTCCTTATACTATTGTTTGCTCTGCAACATCAATATTATTAATAGCAATAATCAAATAATAAATTACTATAAATTATGTTAAATGATTGTTGCATCATCTTAATGGATCCACTTTCGAATGTTTATGCAATATTCACAATAGATAGCTACAGTTCTTATTAAGAATCCAATCCAGGTGATCAATCCCAGCTAAATATGTTTAGTTCTGTTTGAATTAAATAATGTAAATAGCAATTTTGATAAAATTATACATTTAGAGATCATCTGTCAATTTTCACCTAAAATACTCGGAATCAAGGTTCGTGGAGATTTTATTTATTACAAACACATATCTCAAGATTACTCTAATTTTGAATACTTCCAAAGACAATGTTAACTTTTAAAGAAAGTTTGATCAAAACAGCTTATTCAATTATGTGTATATATTTACATCTATGCTCTCACATGTAAAATAAATATTTTTGATCAGCATTAAGATAAACACTCAAAATCTTTGTAATCATAGATTCCAATCATATGAACAAGAGATAAAGTTGTATTGTCTACTCAGAAACTTAGAGAACCTCTGAGAAAGGAAATAGAAATATTTATCAAAATCAAAGTTTATTTTGATTATCATTTATTAAGAAATATTATTTATTAAAAGAGATATTTAGTAATAGAAATAGTTATGATCAATTATCCTAATCCTTATCGCAATCCGAATATAAATGCATGGAATCAAAATCCTAGGCAAGAGATGGAAGAGGAATAATCACCTTCGTTAATTTTCAAACCAATTGAAAGATAAAATATTGATGATCGAATTAAATCATAACTCGTTTCGCTTAGAAATTCAATTAAAGATTTTGTTCAAAAAATTGTTCAATTCAAATTTGAAGAGAAAATGACATCTCTAAAAGAGAGAATAAGTGGGCTAGAAAGCTTAATTGTGAAGGATAAATCTTTGGATTAGGAATCATTGATGACCTATGTAAATTTTCTTAAAGATACTTACATAAAGAAAGTGAACATCTTATCACTTCATGTTAAAGTTTTTGAAAATCCTCGTTATTTGGAAGCAGATAGGCTTCTAGATTTTTTAAAAGAAATATCTGTATAAGTTTGAAATATATTAGAAATATGAAGAAAGCTATGCAGAATGCCAACCCTTATTGTTTATGAATTAAGAATTAACTAATTTGGAAATGATTCATTGTGTATTGACGCCAATAGTATGCAACTATAAAGAGATACTTTATTATGAAAAGGTTGATTCTCCAATAAAACAATATACCAAAAATAAGAAAATCTATGAATAATCTCTTTCCTCACAGCAAATTAGTCTATTGATTGGATTATTGAACAAGTACTATAAATTTGGAGCTTGTAATACATCTACTTATATTTAGTACCTAATAAGCAAGATAAATGCGTAGCCTTTGTTAAGTGGGCCCCTGATCTGAATATGAGTCAAGTATAGTATCTGGAGAAATTAATTATCATCTTGGAAATACCTTAGGAATAGAACAATACTTATGCACTTTTACACATCTTTCAATAATAAAATCTGAAAGTTTGCAAATCTACATCGATAGCAAAATAGAGAAATCAATTACAATAACTAAGTCAGCAACTAGGTTGTAATTAATTTACTGCTACTTTGGTCTCCGAATGTAGCTTAGACTTTGCGTTATCAGAATTTCTTAAGATCGTGGCTGCAAAAGTTGATATAAAGCAATTAAGTTAATTTCTAGATGAGAACGACTATTTTATAAAGGAGGATAAGTTTGAGTAGGGGAGGTAGGAAGTAAACTATTTTGTTGATGCATTTGAGATGGAGAGATTGGGATTCTCACTTGCATGAACATTGTGAGCTAAATAAGAATTATTAATATAATAATGTTTTTCATATTTTGTGTTTTCTTTCTAGTAGTTAAATCTCAAGATGAATTGGCAGAGAGTGAGGAGATGGAATCTGATTGCGATATGGAATTTGACATGCCATTTTGTAGTGGAAATGGTACACTCTGAACTAATACTTAGGTACTCCAATGTAGGAAAACTCATTTTTAAATACACTTAAAATATTACTCTCATTTAATGATATGAAGGTGGTAAATAAGATAGATCAATCAGAATATGAAGTTGAAGAACTAGAAAGAGGACCCACTTTATATGATGATGGTTATTCTGGAGTGTTCAAGGGAAGTCAAATTTTAGAAATCCCCTAAAACGAATAAACCCCGTACTTTACCTACAGTATGTGGTTGTTTTTTCCAAGAACCAGTGGAGCTGAGAGACCAAGATCTGTCTGTCCCATATTCCAAAAAGGCAATGAGGAGACTCATTATCCCAGTTTATACTATGATTAAAAGCATAAATAATTCATAGTCTACATCGATTAAACAGTTACTTCAGAAAATTCAGGTTTGGTCTCTGTTAGTAGACCTTTGGCTAACCAATGGATTTATGTTTCTTTGGTTAGTACAAGTAGTAAATTGAAATTATACATAAATGGGGTCTTGGATAATATAAAAATATTTCAGGCAGCCCCTAAACCTAACGATCATCCTCTCTACGTAGGGAACACACCTTGGTTTAAGGATTATTGTAGTATGATGTTTCTATTGGACAAGTTTTAATATTACACAGAGGAAATTAAAGCCTATTTCATTCAGGCATAAGCTTAATTCTAATTGGAGAGTGCCAGCATTCATTTTGGATGCATAAGTTGTAATTTGGAGGAGGCAACAGGAGCATGTATAAGTGGGTACCATTTATGCACGAAGATTGAATTTTATAGTGGAGTTTATAATGTAGCTAGACAATTAGGGTGGATGGATTACGGAGATTTTGTATGGACATATTAGGATGCAATTAGGAAGAATGACAAAAAGAAAGGATTGGCTGTTTGTTGTATTGATTCATTCTGATTATATTAAACATATCGAACTTTAGTTTTTTAGTGTAATTAAGAAATAAGAAAGTATAAATTTATATGATATCATACAATAATTATTAAAAAATAAGTTAATTAAATTAGTAAATATAAAGAGAAACAATAAAATGTTAAAAGATCTCAATCCAAGGTAAGCGTTAAATGTTAATTCATAGTTGTGAATACAAACACTGCAAATCATTTTTTCAAATCAACTTTTCGACCATGAAATGGATGAAATCCACCACTCTTCCTGTGCCAATAAGTAGTTACTCTATTTCTGATGATGTGAGATTTGTGAATTTGAAAGGAGACATCAAGCAAAAGACATTGATCAATGTTGAAAACTATTTGTTCTACAAAACTAAGAAGGTAATTGTGAAGATTGCTAAATCAGGACAAATTAAAGTGGATTGACTTTGAAAATGCCATCATAGAGCAATTCCATCATCAAAGACATGGACATGCCATTAGATTAATTAAATGTTTCGATGTTGTCGAAATATTTTGTGATGCCCAATCCTGGTTCAAATACATAAAACGATATACTATTTAATCAGATTTCAATGCCAATTACATTTTGAGGAAAAGAATAGGCAGAGGCCAATTCTCAGAAGTAACATAAAAAATACTACATTTTTATAGGTGTACAAGGCCAAAAATAAATCGGATGGAATCGAATATGCCATTAAGATATATTAGAAATAAAACTTATTTGATGAAGTTGATAGGGCAGCAATATAAAAATAAATTTCAGTGCTTAGAAGATTGTAATCAGATTTTACAATAAAATTTTATGAAGTTTTCGAGAATACTGATTAAGTCTTTGTAGTTGAGGAATTATTGATGGGAGGGAACTTAATGGATTACATTATAAGGGAGAATTTCTTTTCAGAGGATCAAGCTGCCAAACTAATCTTCCGAATAGTCAAGGCAGTTAATTACATTCATTCAAAAAATATCATACATCGTGATATTAAACCAGAAAATTTAGTATTCAGGTTCCAAGATAATGTTGAAACTCTATGTATAAAGAAGTTCCAATTGGCTGATTTCTATAATCCAGATGTCAATTATCATTACATATGTTGTGGCACACCTGGATTCATTGCTCCTGAAATTTTATTAAATCAAAATTACGATTAAAAAGTTGATGTATTTAGTATTGGTGTTACACTGTATATATTGATGACTGGTTAAATGCCATTTGACGGTAATTTTGAAAAGAGACTAGAATAAAATGTTGAAGGTTTAGTTGATTTTAGTATGATCAATCTCAGCATTCTTGGGATGAATTTTATTAAAACAACACTTTAACCAAATCCTGAAGAAAGATTGAGTTCACATCAATGTTTGAATCATCAATGGTTTGTTCAAGAATAATTGGCCAAAATCACTCAGATGTAATTAAAAAAACCTATTCAATTACAAAATCAATTCATTGTTAGGAGAATGAAATAAGCCAAAACCTTGACTTTTAGTCCTTCTTCTCCTAGAAGTCAAATTTCTATTCAAAGTCCAAGAAATCACAATCTCCAACAAGAATAGTAAAAATAGTCTCCAATTTTGGCGGTAAGTAAAACTGAAAAATTAATTGGACCTCATTCCAGTTCTAAAAGCATTCATTTTGAATAAATCCAAACGTAACCAACAGATGATGACGATCAGAATTAAGACTTCAGTAATTTGAAATCAGCAAGAAAGAAAACCTAATCATTTGTTATTAAATCTACTTCAACACTGAAGAATTTTAATGTATTGAAATCAAAATTTAAATGATATTAATCAATTTATCAATAATCACTCATCGAAATTGTATTTTATATGTCCTTTACAAATTAATTTTTATTTACAACCCTTAAATTCACATTCATTTATGTGTTCCGAACATTCTAAACAATAATTAAGTAAATGATTCTATTAACAATGAACAAATTCAGTCCCTTTAGATTTATTGCATTTCTAGCAATAATATTAACTGAAATCAATGTCATATTAGAATCGGTTAATTTTTACATTTTATTCAATATTTATATTTTACTGCAATGATAATTTTAGTAAGTCTTAGTGTCTCCAAGTCAATTCCTTTAATAAGTTGTTGTTATTTTGATCTACTTACTTCACAACTAACTTCTTTCTTGATTAAATTTTTGTATCACAGAATAAGCACTCTTAAATTTCAGATTAGCAATCAAAACAATAACGTAAATGTCCACAAGGAATCAACAATGTATTAGATGTATTTTCCATACAAATTCTGCATTTATTTATGTGACTTCCCTTTTATACTTATTCACCTCTTGCTACATTTGCAATGATATCTTCATCATTTATTGGAAGATAAAATAATTCTAACTCCCTCTAATCTTGATTCAAGTTGTTTTTTTCAGTAAATTAAATTTCAAAATTATCCTAAACTACATTTCCAAAAGCAACTATGTCATCAGTAGTTTTATTCATTATCCTAAAGTTAATTTTAATAGATTACAAAATTTAACTATTGATATTGAAATTCTTTTTGCTAGTCTAAAATTGTTAAGCGTAGACGAATTTTGAATTAGACAAAGTTAATTTTAAGGAATTGGCATAACTGTTAGAACAAAATTCTAATTTCTTGATGTCATCTAACAATAAGAATAATAAATACATTAAACTCCTTCTATGATAGCAGATATTCCTGAGGTGTCTCTATATTTCATATAAAATTCTTATTCTTTTTCAATCGACAAAAATCGAGGTTAGAATACTATTTGAGGAGACAATTATTTGACTTAGATCAAATTATTAGAGATGAATTTTTGATCTTTCAATTCTGTATCATCACTGATTTTAATTCTAAAGACTTGTTTATCTTCATTCGAATTGATGTAATTCACTTTGCCTTCTATTTCGGTTATTTAAATTGGTTTATTATTTGCAGTTTAGTTTTCAAAATAATAAAGATCGTATAAGATTATCATCCCTTAGATTAGTGCAACTTCTAATTCATTTTTGTTTCGAGATAAAATTTAGAGCAAAGCATTATTATTTTTTGTAAAATCTATTTCCTTTGGTGTTGTTTAGAAAAAGTTTAATTAATTAAATAGAGATTACGAAGATTGAATAAATTAAATATTGTAATTAGGTTAGTGATAATTGGGATAATTGAATTTCTGAGTGCTAATTTCAACATACTTCTTAATGATATCCATTTTCCATTGTCCTTTCTTGATTGTTTCTTGTGCTACTAAATAGCATAGTACTTTCTTAGCTCTAAATTAGTGATAAATTTTACTGTGAAAATTATATTAAATCAAATATATTCTATAACATATCGTCAAATTCAATCAATTCTTGATAATCTATTAGCAAAATAAGATTCTTATTATTTATAATATTTAGACAGAGTTCAGTAAAGCTGCATATGTAAATTTTAAATGAGGAATCATCCAATTAAATTTAAGTGCATTTTTATGGAGATTCTTCTATTTCTTTCAAACTATTATGATCAATAGTTGTTCCATATGTAAATAAAGGTATCCTTATGTTTTTCATATTTTTTGTAATAAAATTACTTTATAATGCATTCCAAATCAAAAATTAAGGAATATGAATCAATTTATACTGATATTTTCTGATGTAATCGTTTGTATTTTAAAATTATATATATGATTATAACTCACAATTTAGGGTATTCTGGCTTGGTTTTAGTCATGGAAGATGTAATTGCAATGGGGATGTCATTTGTAAAGAGCATAGCCATATTGGTTCTAGCCATAACATCTAAATGCTAATCTAGGTTTTATTCTCTTGTTAAAATGCTTTTGATTGTGTAGCAACCAACTGGGGATTTTGTGGCGATCAATTCTGCTAATTTGAATATTTCTTCATTTAAATTTTCATTCTTTACGATTTTGCTGACCAATCCCAACTTGAGAGCCTCTTGAGCACTAAAGGTTCTTCCTGTGTAAGCTAGTTCTCTGAAGAGTGAAGTGTTAGCATTTTACAAACCTAATCTTTGCAAGGTGCCTATGTCAGGAGCCCTGGAGCATTTAATTGAAATTCATTACATGGCGAGATCGATTTCTTTAATGGAGAATTTAGCATCTTCGGAGCAATATCTGATGTCAGCAGAGGTGATGAGGTCGACTCCTCCACCTAAGCAATAGCCTTAGATTCCAACAATGACTGGAACCTTGATTCTTGACAAGGATGTCATGGCTAATTACCAGTCTTTGAGGAGATCGTAGATTCTAATTGATTTTCTTGCTTGATCCATGTCTTCATGGAACTGAATTTAGGGGGGGTAGTAATTACTTAAAACATTAAGGGAGCTTCCTTAAGATCCAAGCCAGCGCAGAAGTGATTGCCTCTGCCTGTCAAGACGACAACTCGGACATCATCTGCTTTATTGATGAGATCGACAGCTGCTTTGAAATCTTGGAAGAGTTGGGAAGACATGGAATTTCTAGTGGTAAGCTGAAATAAGGTACAATGATTTGGGTCTGTTGATTTCTAGATGATAGATGGAGCCTTTTTGTGTTCCCACAAGAGTTTGCATACTTTATATATTAATAATATTTAGTAAGAATGATTAATTTTTATTTGTATTTATTTTCGATGATATAAATGAATTTGAAAATATATATCCCACAATAAATAAATTAAATGAATCATCTTGAAGAGAGTAGTGCTCCAGCAACCAATGCTCCCGTACCAATAGATGCAACTTGGGTTTTGGTAACATCATTTAGTGCTTTGCTAACAATTTTGGGATTTGCATTCATTAGTTCTGGCGCTGTTCGTTATAAATCAGTACAGTCGTCAGTGATAACAGTGTTATTGGGATCAGTGTTGACTATTTTGTTCTTCTGGCTTGTAAACAAAATATAATAATAATTAATTGATAGGTAGGATATGGATTCGCCTTTGGAGATGACAAGGGAAATAAATTCATTGGTTTAAGTAAATTTGCAGGAATCGGGTACACAGTCGAATCTCCAACTGACGATTACACAAATTTGAGTAATAGAGTTAAGTTATAATAATTTAGTATTCTCAACAGTCGGAGCAGTCATCGTAGCATCTCTTTTTGGATTGGGAACATTGGAGAGATCCAGATTCTTTTCAGTTAGTTTATGCATAGCATTCATCACAGCAGTATTATACCCAATAGCACTTCATTGGATCTAACCTACTGGATGGTTGAGTAAATTCGGATTTGTGGATTTTGCAGGATCAACATATATTCACGTTTTCGGTGCTATTACTGCATTGGTTGTTTCATTCTTTTTGAAGGAGAGGAGAGATCAAGCTGGCAATGTGCATCCAGGTATTTTCCCACATCATTCTCCAATCAACATCGGATATGGATCAATTATATTGACAATTGCAATCCTAATATTCATTAATGGTGCCAATACATAAGGAAAGAATGATAAATACGAATAGGGATTGATAGCAGTCAACACTATTGTAGCAGCTACTTTATCAGCTCTCACTAGTTTTCTATTATAATACTTGAAGACTCATAAGACAAGTTTAATTGCATTATCTAGAGGAAGTGTTGCTGGTATTGTAGCTATTTCAGCATTGGCTAATGATGTTAGAATTTGGGAGTCTGCTCTTACTGGTGTTTTGGCTGGTTTCGTGTATATTGTCCTCATTCTTGTGATTAAAAGATCTCACGTTGATGATCCTGCTTACACTATTGCTTCTCATTTGGTATCTGATATTCGTATATTCTTTAGGGTCCTGGTCTCTTGGGAACTATTCTGGTTGGTTTTCTGGGTCTTACCAATGGTTGGGTTACTGGTCATGGACCCAAATAATTGGGATTATAATTAGTAGGAATCTTGGCATTTATTGGATGGGGATTACTGGTTGCCATCTTTATTGTTCCATTAAAAGGCACTGGTGCATTTAAAATTAATCCATTCCAAGAATCATAGGGAATAGATGTCAGTTATGGTAATACAATAATGTTAATCATTTTTAGCTGAAGGAGAAGCCATTCAATTCCTCGATGAATAACCAGAACCTGCATTGTTAAGCAGTTCTCCCAAGAAGGGAATCTTCCAATGATTAATAATAAGTTTTCATACAAATAAATTCATATGTGAAATATTAAAAATTCAATTTAAATTATGCACAATATCACTGTTGCCATTCGAGTCAAACCAGTTTAATAAACCTTCAAAACCATTATTGTTAATGGCTCCACGGTTACTCTGCTCGATCCAGAATTGGAATTCAATAATCCTGTCGATGTAAAATGACATTTCTATATTATATTTTACATCCTAAAGATCCTGAAAAAGAATAGAATTAAAGATGCATCTTATGAGTTCGACCTTGTCTTTGATTAACAAGCCGATCAAAAGGAAGTCTATGAAAAATCAGCAGAACCCCTTCTGGATGATCTCATTTCAGGATAAAATGTAACTATTTTTGCATATGGAGCAACAGGAAGCGGCAAAACTCACACGTATCATTATTATCCCTAATCTCTTCTAGCATGATGGGAAGCCAAAATCAGTAAGGCATTATACCAAGAGCGTTGAATGATTTGTTTGGTCGATTATCAAAAGAACAAGCCGCTCAAGTAGCAACATTCCCACTATTTAGGCTTCGCTCACCTTCTTAGAAATATACAATGAAACTATCCGAGATCTCTTGACTGGGAAGCTATTGGACTTGAGAGAAGATGGCAATAAAGGATTAGTAGTTGTGAATTTATTTAAAGCTCCTGTCCCCACTCTCAATGATATTAACCAATACATCAAATATGGTAACAGCAGAAGAGCAAAGGAACCTACGGGTGCTAATGAAAACTCGACAAGATCTCACACTGTTTTGCAATTGATGCTCAAACAATGCACCTTTACTTTTGTTGATTTGGCTGGTTCTGAAAGAGCTTCCCAAACTACCAATAAAGGACAAAGAATGGTTGAGGGAGCAATGATAAATCGATCACTCTTAGTTCTTGGTAATTGCATCAAGGCATTATTCTCAAAGGAATAGTTTGTTCCATTCAGAGGCAGCAAATTGACTAGACTTCTAAAGGATGCACTCCAAGGCAATTCTAAAACTGTCATGATTGCCAATGTTGCTCCCAACAATTACGAAGATTCATTCAACACACTCCTTTATGCTCACAGGACTAGGAATATTGATCCAACTCCTAATAATTTTCAAGAGATGATTGTTCAATTAAGAGAAGAGAATGAAGACATCAAAAAGACACTCAAGAAGTAAAATAGTTAATCCAAGATGCAATTATAAATTGAGTAGCAATTCAAAGAGTAATAGAGATAGGAGAAGATCGAAAAACAATAATAATAACAATAAATTTAATAGATCCAGCAATAGCAAATTTAATAGCAATAAGCAGAAAAATAAGCATATGATGAAGAACAAATTAAGGCTATTATTTTAAAGTAATTTGCATAAGAATCAGAGTTAATCAAGTAATTGTTTAAATTAGAGGATGCTTTGATGCAGACTCATCTAGACATTGTTGAATATTAAAAATAGTAGAGTGTATAATTTCAATAGAAAACTGAAGATCTAATTACTAAATGCACTGATTCAATTAATAATACAGAAAATGAGTAATTTGAAATTGCTATGAAGTATAAAACAATCTTGCAATAAAGGAGAAAAATATATGATGTAATACTTATTTGATAATTAAATATAGTAATGCATGCAAAGTCAATTTTAATCAGTGAAGGACGAGTTTAGAAAATAAGTTCAAAATATAGAGAAAATGAAAGGTTTGTAGAGTGATAAAAGGGAAGAAGTAATGAAGAAGTTTAAAGAGCTGGAAATTGAACATCTCAAAAAGATTTCTAATTAAAAAAATGGGAATCAACCTTAAATTGATGAGGAAACATTAAAAGAAATTAAGAAAAATAGGTTACAAAGCCTAAACAAATAAATTAAGGATGGAAAATTGTGAATGAATAAAAAATATTAAAAATAAACCCATTAAAACATTATTCTTTAATTCATATATTTCTTAATTTAATTTATCATCCAATTTCTGATATAAAATATAATTTAGTATTCTTGATAACTGATTTATTAAATAAAAATGAAGCTATTTCTATAAGAAGCAAACTCTTTACATCCTATAAAACAATCATAATAATTGAGTTTGAATATTTCAGAAATTATAAGGGAGTATTATGATAATGGAAGTTCCTGGTTTGTTAGCTTGAATAAAAATAATTTTCTATCCTATTATATTCTAAATCTAAAAAAAACTTAATGTTGAAGTAATAGCATATTAAATTTATAAAGAAAAATATCTAATTTCTTTCAACTAAATAATCACAGCATAGCTTGAGCTAACAGATCCCTTCTATCTGAAATCTTTGAATTAAGAATCGTAGGGATTGCAATGAGGCAAATTTGAAATTACTGTTATTCCTACTTCTATAAAGTTGGTAAGAGAGGTTTTGTAATCTTGTAATTATACTTTGGAAGAAATATATTATTATTTAGATGATTGAACTAAAGTCTAAAAGGATGAATAACGTATAGGAATTTAAGACTACAACATCAACAGTTACAGCTTAGTCAGGAGTTATTTTATAATTATCTGATTGATTATTGCAAGGATGCTTTTTAGATGGTGGTGTTAAAGAAATGACTTAAGAATTTATATTATAGAAATAGAAGTTATCTTATCTAATGGAAAGCTATTAAATATATTGAATAAAGGAAGGAAAGAGAAACTAGAACTTATCTAAAATACTTGTATATGGATCTGAAGGAACCTTGGGTATTATAACATAAAGAAATATATTAATACACACTCCTATTCACGAGCTAAGGTAAGTATTCTTGTTTTGAGTTAAAGGATTCTTGATGAAGAGATAAAATTTATGGAGATTAGCAAAACAATGAGAACGTTTTGGTACTTTGGAATTCGTAGAAAAAGAGGATTGTATAAGAATGTTTGCCATTTAAACTTTAGTTGAAAGCTTTAATTTGAATTAAAGCTGATAAATATAATGTTTTGATTGAAATTTGATGATAGTAGGTTGAATTGAAAATATTATTTTGAACGTTTATTGAAACACAAAGAACAGAGGGTGTTCAATCAGAATGAATAGGAGGTATGGACAATGTGAAGAAGGACAGAAGGCAGACCATAAAAAACTACATAATAAGAGACATGTTTTGAAATCTGAATGTAAGGTAAATGCGCAATAATATTGTTAGCATACCTGATAAATTTGAATATTCTACAGAGTAGGTTTATTAGAAGACCTTATAATGCATCTTATGGTTATTTATGCGATGGGAGTATTAATTGCAAAATTGTGGTTGAAAGTGAATTTGAATGTAAAAGTGAAGATGAGTTATATTTAGGAACAGAAGAAGGCAGGGGAGAAGACTAATGTAAATGGAAGAATTTGATTTAAGTTGAACAAGAAGGAGAGTAGTTAAAACGAAATTATATGCAAGTTTAGATGGGGAAAGAAACCTTTGGGTTTTCGTAGGAGTTGAGGAGATTGTTTGATTCTAGGATCATTGTTAACCCTGAAAAGTTATTGTGATTGATATATAATAATTATTCAGTATTCAGTATTGATTCTCCTAACATTCAAGTGCTTCGTCACTTTGGAGGGTGGTTTGGGCACATAAATCGTTTTGCGTGGTCTATGGAGATCTCGGATATAGCGATCGTACACATCGTCTTTGAAATCATCATCGGCCATTCCGAAAAAGGCTGTTATAGTTACATTTGCAGACATCGTTAATTTTATTAATGAAACACAAAATACCAACTTTGGATCTACTCAAAACAACCAGACCAACCAGTAGAAATGATTCAAGACAATAATCTCATGTTTCTTTTCGCATCACTCTACAAACTCCCAAATCCACTGCTCGGTACAACAATCCCCAGACTTCTAGAGTGTTAGAGTAATCCTTATTTTAAAATGATATTTCGAAACTCAAATCAAAACATCGGAAAGTCAAGACAGAGACTGATCCTCTTGTGTTTTGGGATTAGGTTCAAAACTATGGACACTTGAGAACCATAGAACCACCTAAATTCAATTAGGAAAAGCAAGCTTAATTGTACTAAAAGTTGTAAAGGATGAAAATTGAGAAAGAGGAAAAAATTAGAAAGGAGTAAGAGGAAAGAGAGAGAGTCAAACTATTGGAATTGGAAAGGAAACATAAGGAGTAATAGGCTTTGGAAATAGAAAAAAAAAGGATGCTGGACTCTTAAAGATATCAAGAGTACTTGGCTGAAAAATACAAAATAGATAGAAGATTCACCATCTTCACTTTGGTTAATGCCATAATGTTGCGAAAATTACATTCTAAGCCTACTTCATTTAAATTAGCCAAATTGATCGCCAATCAATATCTAAATCTCTTAAATTACAAAGCCATTTTACACAAAATAACCATGCAACAATCCTAACCCTTGCAAATCTCTCAAATCCTCCAAGGGAATGCTGAGTAATTGGCCTAATTGAAGAACATATAACATCGATTGAATGAGGGTTTGATACTCAAAAGAAAATAAACCAGAGTGTACTTAAATAAACAAAAAACCATCTTTGAATAAAGCCAAGCACCACCTTAGTTTTCAGAACCTGTACTCAAACGCATCCGTTTTTTATAGGCTTGTCTGAGACTGAAGGTGTTTAAATTGAATAAAAAAAACATTGAACCCAAATAGAAAGTTAAAAGCAATAGAGTGCATCCGAATAGAGTAAAAGCGCTTAAAAAACGATTGGATGACATAGATTTTATCAAAGCCAACTCTCCCTCTTACAATAGTCCATTATCATCTCCTGGACAACCTGTTGCTAATCCTTTAGGTTTATTTTGCACACTCTATAAAGTTGCCGACACTCTGAAAAATTACGATAGAATTAAAAATCAAAAAATGATTCAAAAAACTAATGATTATTTAGTCAAGAGAGTATAATCTTTATATTATCCTGTAATTAGATTTGTCTCTATCTTCTATAAAAACGTTGTTGTTTGGTCAATTCAATATTCTGATATTACCTTGGATCGAACTTGCATTGTGTTATTTTTTAAAGGTGAAGGCAGATCTTAATATTTCTATCGTTTGGACATCCCTATTGGGGCTATTCAAAAGGAAGATATTGGAGAACAGAATTGTATCACTGTCTGGCCAACTGTTCGCGATTACTTGATGAGCTACCTAGAATTGAAAGGACAATTAGCATTATTAAATCAAACCAGATATGGATGTGCCAAAAATTACAAGTTGAATTTCATCTAAGGCTTATCCATGCGTTCTAGAAAGAACATCACTGAAGAAGATATCAATGCTATAGTGGAAACCAAGGAAATCCTAAATTATCTATAGACATCACAAATAGTGAGAATACGGAAGATATTTGGATCGGTCTATGAGTTATTACCTTAATTCTAAGATTGTAATCTGTTGTCTGATGCCACTTAATACATTTTGAACTTACCTCTTGTTCATGATACAATTTTACAATTAAGAATACTCGAACAGTAGATCCTAGAATATCGACGTAACATTTATAAAAAACCATAGGATTTATCAACAAGGTATAGAGATTACATTGAAAGAAATAAAAGTATACTCAATTAAATTCTGGCATTCCGTTTTGTTCACAATAACAGTATCTTTTTTTAGGATTAAATGCTTGAAGATATCTATGAACTCTCCCACAAATCCATTTATATACAATGTGCAACTATCAATATTCAAGATATATTGAATCATTATGACTTTTAAATATGCAATTAAATCAGCAAATATTGTCTGATAAGTTTACATCTGACACTCAAAAGCCAATTCCATTTTGATGATTTACTGTTTAATGCATAAAAGCATTCAGTTAGAACAGGATTCCAAACCATAACTAATTTCTTTGATGTAGATTACACACACTTTGATTGGAAATTTAAATTGGAGTACTTCAAAGTAAGGATTGAAGTGACAGTATTTGAAAGGGATAAGTCACTTAAATGGAATGAAAAGCAACTCCTTCAAGACATTAAGCAATCAAGAAGTGAGCGTGCCTTCAAACCATTGAAAATGAAATTGGATGATTTCAGTAAACTAGGGTAAGCTCTATAAGAAACTACATTCAATAATGGTGACATACAACAATGCAATTTTGATTAGATACTTAAAAGCATAATCTCTGAATAGTGTTCATATTCTTAGGTGGCTGATTTAGTCTTAAAAAATGCATTTACTTTAGACATAAAGAATAGGAAGATCATAATCTAACCGAAGTATCTTCACATTCTATCCAAAACTCACAATTTCATTTAAAAAATGGATCATCAAAGTCTGTACAACAAAATCGATTGTGTGTATAAATATAGTGTGTATCCAAATGAGTAGCTTGACATCAGAAGGGGCTATGAAAATAGAGAGAAGGAGAATCAAATAGCATAACTATTGCCGTTTAATAAATTATTTCAGGATATAAATCAAATAGATATGAGAATAACTGTTGAAGGAAGAAAAATTGAATAAGTTACTGATTATGCTTTTGACTTTTAAGATTAGTGGAGTGATTTACATAAATAAACCATGGTTTACAATAAATACTAATTTTTTGAAATGGCTACAAGGAAGTTTTTGTTTATTGATCAGATCAATTTCATGAAGATAATTTATATCAAAAAAAATCAATCACCAATAATATTGTATTTACATGATTATCATTTAATTCATCAAATTTCTAATTGTCAGCGAATGAATAAACATTAAAAATGCTAAATCTTAACTGGAATTATACGAGTGCTGTATTCCCCCACTTCCTTTTTGTATCTGAAGGATCATCAATTTTACAATTATCTCAAGGCCTAGTTGCCAAATTATCATCAAATTAAAGTCCTATTGGTAAGCAATTCAAAGAAACTATTGCAATTTTTGGACAGATTGGATTACATATACATATTAAAATTATGGAACAATCAATCATGTTATGTCCATGTTAAGGTGTATTTCTTGTAGGATCATAAGCAAGAAAAAGGTTCAGAGAAAATATACATCTATGATGGAGAACACTTGTTTGTCAGTGTAGAGTTGTACGAGTTCAATTCTAAGTTGAAGAAATACATCTTATTATTTAATAAGTATGACTTGGAACTGTAGTTTGATGTTGAGAAGTATTTTGATTCCAACATTATATTCAATTGGTGTAAGGCCATCATATCAAATACTAAATTTGATAAGAGATTCTTATATAGAGTACCCTAGATAATGAAGTACAATCAAAACTAATCCCCTGTGAACCTCAATAAGTTCATGCTCAATTCCTTTTTTAATAGGCAGCAATCCCTTAATGTAAATTACAACGAAAAAGTGACAAGGTGCACATTCAATGAATTTCCAAAAAATAACTTTGATTAAAATATTACTGATAAGAATTATTTGAATACTGTACATAGAATTTTTAGAGTCATTGGACATTATACATAAAAGTTTTATTTGGTAAAGCAGAAAAATAAAAGGAAAATAGTAAATGAATTGCGATATAAGGAGATGAAGAACATAAAATTACTTAAGTAGGAGTTTGTTATTATTTCTATACTTGCTCATACTTATTTAGATATGTTCCAGATTATCTATTATTTTCCAAGAAGTAAAAGAAAATTAATGACTTACATCAATATTTTACACTTTTAGGAGATGGATTTTAAAGATCATGTCATCTTCAATTTGATTGACAATAGTTAATTCACTGATTACAACGATCTATAGAATAAGGAGAAAGTAAATCATTAAAATAGTAAAAAACACCCATAGTTAGATATGAATTTAATCTAAAAGATCAAATTAATGAAAAAAACTGAACAATCTCCTTTTGATTTGCAATCTGCTAAATAAAAGAAAAAGTTTCAATCTAGAATAGGGTTTGCTTAGGTTAGTAATGAGATTTTAATGAAAAACAAAGTAATCAAGCAGGCTATTAATCAGAATAATTAAATCTCAGATTCTGTGATGAAATTCTTGGGATTTTCAAGGAAGTTGCATGATCATGAGGATAATCACAATAAAATGATAGAGATATAGATTTGGAACAGATTGTTGAATGAGGTGTTTTTGTTGAATATGGATCATGAGAAGAACTTCAGTAATTTCAACACATTGATGGATAGATTGATGGAGACATTTGAAGATTTCGCAGAGTAAAAAATAAAGATCATAGGTAAGGAACATCTAATGAAGAGACAATCGATGGAAAATTCAAGATATAATTATAAAGTGTAAACAGAGTTAACTGAGAAATTTGAAAAATTGATAATATACAATCATGTTAGAGTGACTTAGCAATTCAAATTTTCAAAGAGCAGATACATCTTGAGCACCAATTGCTATGACAGTTAGATAATGGAGTTTATTTGCAGTGCCTAATTTCGTATTGAAAGATTGGGATCAGCCTATGTGGAGTGTTTCTTAGAACCATTGAATAACAAGAGAACGGATATCTTGAAACCTTTAAATCCGATGCCTTATTCTTCATCCTCCAATTACAATATCTATTTTAGATACTATTGTTTGACCAACTATTTCTTCAAGGATGTTAGGGTCAATCTTAGGGAACTATTGAATTTATTCATAGCAGATGGCTTTTTCAAGTCTTAGACCAATTATATGAATAGCAAATTGTCCATATCTGATATCATCAATATGTGTCATTATTTGACTTACAAAATCAAGACGTAAAACTATCTGAATCTATCATAATTGGCTTTGCAACATTAAGAAACTGAAAATACTTTGAGAAAATACATTATTACTGAAAGTGTAGATCAATTCTAGACTGATAAGAAGAAGGATGGGGAAGGATACATTTATAGTGAAGTGATAAAAAAGAAGAATAAACATCTGGTGTTATTGTAATTACAATTATTCCATACACAACACAAGGTGATTGTAAATATGTTTGAAAATAAGACGGATTACTTTTAGTAGAAAGAATTGACATTCACTTATATTTAGACAATCGTTCCTAATTTTTCATTCCTTATAAAAACACGTAATTATTTCAAGGCTCTTCAAAGATTGGTGGAAGTACTTAAATATAAATAATGATGATACTTATTTATATAAATATTTTATTATTAATAATAATAAATAATGAGCTCAATCTAATCAGGATAATTATTCGTCAGTCAAGCATTTAAGAATTGCTTTAATTAGCTTGTTCCTGACATGAAAAAATTCAATGGTCAATACACAGAATAAGATCAAGATGCCATGACAAATTGCTTAGTCAGATATATTGACAGCTTCAGAACAACTTAGAAGGTGTTCTATTAGACTCATGAACAGGAATGAGGCAAATACATATATTTATCAATAAAACAACATTTCATTATATTACGCAAAAAATATCTATAAAATATATTTCTATCGAAGCATCGTCTCTATACTTGAAATGCTTAGCTACAATTCTTTTATGCTAGACAATTAAATTGCATTTCATTAAGTAAGTGAAATGAATCAATTTAATTCGATATTTAATCTATTTTATTAAGTATGAATGAGACTGATTTATTGAGATGTAAAAGAGAGCAATTTCACACAGAAATTAGAAGAAATCACTTGGAAAAGATATTCAATGTAAAAAGGAAAGTATCAAATTCAGATGCCCAGATTTCTGATTATTACACTTAGTAAATGCATCACATGGGGAAAATTAAATTACTAGATCTACTTATCCTAATTAATGAAAAAGTAAATAAACCTATAGTTGAAATGGTTTAAAATGACCTCGGTCTTCAGTTGAGTAAGATGCTTAATTTAAATGAACTCTATTCTAATTGGGACTTGTTCAAAAATATATTGAACTATCTAAACAATTTAGTGCTATTGCCAGACGAGCATTTGCAAAACTACCCAAAATTTAACGAAATGCTAATATCTTTTAGCTAGCTATTCATTCTTTTGGAAGCTGATATTTTTCGTAAAGGTTTGTGTGTAAAGGGGAACGATCAGAATTATCCATTAGAAGCAGGATATGATGATATATCTCGATTGTCGTACGCCTTTATTAAAATTGATTAAATCCTCATGTATTCATCAACAACATTTCAATCAAGAGGAGAACTATTGAGAAATAAATTGTTTGTGCATTGTCTCTGTCATGCCTTCCATGTATATATATAATAAATTATACTAGATCCAAATGGATAATAGTGTGCTTGAGTTACATTTACAACTAATAACATCTTTGCTACAGGACTTGTACAAATAGGATAACGATTGTCGAAAACATGCAGAAGTGTTCCTTAAACCCATTTGCAGTGCTTTGTCGACTAAAAATTTGGATAAATTAAATTATTTATTATAAATATTGCTCAATTTGACCTTTGTGGGAATGCATAATGGATATGTAAAAATAATAATTTAATTATTAGATCAATTCAATATTCAAATTTAATGGAGCTTTGGAATTGATGTAAATATTGAATGAAGGCTTGAATGATTAATTGACTTTGAGGATTCTGGCTGAGATTGCTTAACAAAGCCCAGCTCATATTGAGATTTTGATAAAAAATGGATTGCTTCAATAGTTGAAATTGAAATTATGTTCGAATAAGTAATTATTCTATTCAAGTGATTATTATAGTAAATTGGTTTAGAATCAGGCCTTATGGGTCCTAGAATTCTGCATATGTGGAGCAAAACAGTTTTACGATGTCATATTTGCATAAATAGACATTACAAATTTTGTTATCCAATTACTGAACTCTCCCGATGAGTAGATACATGTTTAAGCATGCTTTACTTTGTGTGCTTATCTTTAGAAAGGCAACTTTTAGTAAACTCAATAATTGTGTCAATCGAAAATACATCTAAAAGTATTTTAATTTTTGCATTTGCAAAATGTGGAATTGAAATAGGCTATCCTTGAAGCGATTATTGAGATATTGAACAAGGAAATGTGGTAGAGTAGTCAATATTCATTGATATCTTCATAAGAGAGGGAGAACTTACGTTTTGTTTTGGAGAGACTCGATGAAGACCAATCTATTTTTTCAATGATAAATAATTTATTGTCATATTTATGAAATTAAATAATAATTATTATAAAAATGCCAAAAAATTATTAAATTGGTGCAATTAATTATGAAGACATCAAATTTGATACTGAAGATGAATAATTTTTCAATTTTCAATTTGAAGCACCTTAAAGATGGTTATCAGACAATCCATGTATAAATGACTTTTGGTTTAAAATTCCTCATTTGGTCCATAAGAAAGTAATCTCAAATTATCCAACAATAAGGAGATGTCTTTCAGTCGGTAAAAAGACGATAATTGAATTGAAGAAATAAAATCAATATAAGTATTTCTTGAAATATGTTGTGGAGAAGAAGAAATGTTCAGATTATATCGAAAGTACAATAAAGAAATGAACAGTCTAATTTTACTTTGTGAATGATTTATTTTCATATATATATATATATATATATATCTTTATAGAGTGTAATATATAGTTAAAATGAGTTGCATGGATGAGATACAGGATTGGAAGTGGAGTGAAAATTTAGTTGAATTCCTATTTAAATAATGTGATGCATATATTAATATATACATATAAATCAAGATAAGGAGAATTATGATGTATAAATTGAAATGACATTTGGTAATGATTTGGGGATGTTTTTAAATTCTTAGGCTGTCTTGTTTAATAGATTTTCTGATTTGTAGGCTTTTTAAATATTTTGAAAGGCTTTGTAATGGATGATTTCAATTGGATTTAGGTATAGAATTTTAGAGCCTTCTGGTTGATCTTGCAATATCTGAGATGATTGTAAATTGAGGTAGTTATCAAGGTTGGAATGCTAGTTGCTAAAATTTGGTTTGTTGTATAAACTTTAATTCTCTTCGACACCGCAAATGAATGAACTAAATTTAGAATCATTAATTTCACTAATTATGCTTAATTATGTTTTTTAATTAATTAATCCAGAATCAAAAATTCTAACCTCCTTTTAAAAATATTCTAAATTATCTTGGATTTGATTAATTTATCTATTGATAATTTGAAGGATTTATTCTTTGGAACAAAAGTAGATCATATTCTTTTCAATATTAACTAAACAAGGAGTCAATTCTTCAGTAGATATTTGATCATCCTGAAGATGTCCCACAGCATACTTGACAATCGTTGATCGTTTCATTTGTATTCTTTCATTCTTCTCTGGATCTTCAACGATAGAACTTCTCAGAAATTCAGTTTATATATTTTAATTATCTTTCAATTACCTTTGTCTCCAAATGATTTTATTCTTGAGAACTTCAATAGCTGAATTCTATTCCTCATTCAGATGTTATCCTGTGAGATTCCCCAACATAGTTTCTATAGTTGCATTTTATCCATTTTGCAACCTAAATTTAAACTAGATTTAATTACTTTAAGGTTAAATCCTTCTCTCTTTTTACCAAACTATTGAATCTATTTTTCACATTATTTTCACTCCTGGTCCCATTAAATAATTTTGAAATTTCTGCCCATCTTCTACCATGTTCCTGAACATAATTGAGTAACTGAAAGTCCTCGTCATCTTTCCAAGGATCCCTAAAGTCAATCTAACAAATACTTCCGAATTCTTGGATTTAAATGATTCAGCCATCTTTCTCTGCATTATTTACTTGATCTGTAATTCCTACTATGTAAATTCAATTCATTTGCAATTAGACTCCATTTCTGCCCCTATTCACATTCCTAATATTTGTTGATGATATTAAGTAATGCCTGATCCTCCTCTTGAGTGAATGGCTTTGATTGCAAATCAGTCTTTTATAACTATGACCATTTCTACTTACATTAGACAGCATCTCTCCTATAAATCATATCAGATACATCCTCCCAGAATTCATCAGGTAAATCTCTTATGTCCAAATCTTGAGCCTAACTCAATTTACCCACTATCCAAATCAGCACTTTCTTTTCTTCTATGGTCCAATTCTTCTTCTTATGCGATAACAATCCACTACTAACATGGAGGTTGTGTTAGATTTAAGATATTTCATCATCCGTAGGAAACTAGGCTAAATTAGTGTTGAAGAATTCCTGCAAGTATAAAAATTGGCCATAAGGTTGTCCTGCATGAGATTGGAGGAATTCCAAAAACTTGGAATAGCTCCCCGATTCTGAAACTGACTTGTTTCGCTTTTTCACAAGTTTCTCATTTTTTCTGGATGACAAAGAACGACTTGATTTTAACATATTTTATATTATATAAAACAAAGTCAAATAATATGATCAGGTTTAAACACTCCTGAATTGTACAATAACACAGTTTCCTTACTAATCTGAGGTTACCATGACTTACTCCATTAATAGAGCAATTGCTGTAACTTTTGCTTTTATTCTATCCTCAAACATTCCTATTTAGATGAGAGATTGCCCAACATTTGCAATGCAAGCACCTTCCAAAATTCTGACTTCATCAATAACTTAATCTTCTGGTGCAATTGGAAGGCAACCTTCTGATTCAATTTATTGACACAAGGCCCCGTGATTGTCATCAACCTCAACAAATACAAATCGTCCTCTGATATCAATATTTCTTCATATGCCTTATTGATGTCCCCTGCATCCAAATATTCCAATGCCTTATTCCATTCAGCCACCTATACCACTGCAGGCTATTTAGGTTTCTGCTCTCTCTATGCATTTGCAGGAGGATTTTTTATGAGATCTTGAAAGTTCCTTCTCATTTTATATTTATTTTATTGTTATGAGTTTATTAAACTTCAATCCTGCTGTGAGGACTGAAATAACGACGTATGTAAATCCATTTAGTAAGGTAGTCCTCGGTCTAAAAAAGTATTGGCTACTCTGGGTTTGGTTGTTCAAGATCTCTACTATCCTACAAGAGAAGAGATTTTACAATAGGGAGTGCAATTTGAAGATGTAGACTATTACGTAGAAGCCAAATTGTAGCATATGTGTGAAAGAGTGGATCGATTTTTAGATCTAGCCAGATAAGAATACAATAATAATTCTGAAGAACATGAACGAAATGTAACTTATAATCTATGCTCTAGTCTCAATCAAGCCAACTGTAATTGAGTCAATCTTTCATGTAAAAGTAAGAACAGATACTCAGAACGTTGCAAAACAAATAGAAGATCGAGATTGAGAGAGAAATATAAACTGAAATGAAGATCGAAGAAATGAAAAGGAAGAATCAAATTAAGGAAAAACGAATAGAAGAGTTAAGGAAAATTTAGGAGGAAGAGTTTCATCAAAGAATGCAAGAGAAGGAAGCGAAACTCAAATTGAGAGAACAGAAACTCAAATAGTCTAAATTACAAGCAGATATGCAAAATGAAACCATCATGCGTAAGTTCTAAGAGGAGGAACTAAAGATCCAATAAAAGCAAGCTAAATATGCTTTGTTAAAACAAATGGAGAGGGAGGAAAGGGAAAGAGTCATCATGGAAAAAATGAATAGGAGAGCCCAAAGAATGGCAGAACAAGAATAATAAGTGCAGCTTGAAAATTAGATGAGAAAACAGGAATACAATAAGAAATTGTAAAATATGGAGCAAATGCTGTTTGAGAAGTAGTAGTACATTAAACAATAAAACTAATTAAAAGAGGAAAGAGCTAGAGAAAAATATTAGAATGCTACAGCTTTAAAATAATTGGAGACCTATTAAATAGAACAAAGAATCCATTCCAAAGAAAAAGATATTCAAATGAGAAGTACGATGCAAGAATTCAACAGACAACAATTGCTATAGTAAAAGAGAAGTCAGGAATAACAAAAACAATGTATGATGGAATAGAAGAAACTAATAATCAATCAAGAATAAAATAGAAGAAATCAAGAGTATTTTAGTTAGGAGAAGGAAAGGGAATTGAAGAAATCAATGTTGGATGAGCAAAGAAAATAGAAGAGGGAAGAATGTAGTCTTGTTTTACAATCCCATATGGAGGAAGTTTAAATGGTATATTAATTGATTCTAAAATATTAATTAGAAATAAAGATACTTAGATAAATAAACTGAATTGGAGAACCAAAGGATTATGGCGTAAAAATAATAATAATTTTTAAATGCTGAAGAATTGAGATAAAGAAACATCTAAAACATGAAGAGGAAATATGTTTAAGAATTATTAAAATTGGAAGATGCCACCTAGAATTATTAAATTCAAAAGAGAAAAGAATAATACAAAAATGCCACTTTGTTAGAAGTATGATTCTGTGTAAATTATTTAGAGATTCGAAGAAACCGATAGAAGATTAAAACAACAATAGAGTGAATATTAAAAATTACAAGATACAAAAAAATAGATGGAAGTTTAAATCTAAAATGAAAAGTTGAGAATTTTAGCAGTATTAAATACTAAAGTTATTTAGAGGAATTTGATAAGAAGAAAAAGCAGTTAGGTGAAGAAAGAAGTATTCAATAGGTTAGCTAAATTGTAAAGCCTAATCCAACCGACAGAGTATTAATCAATAAACCTATTAAAACTAAAAGTGCAACTAGTTTTCACTTACCTCCAGCTAAAGAATAAAAAGATCAAAAATTAAATTCGGAAAATAGATCTACCAATAACAAAAGTAAAAGAACTCTGGATGAAAAATCTATGTCTACTACCTCTTAAAAGAAAAGACATTACTTTATTTCTGAAGATACCATGAAGGCTGTCTCATTATATGCAAATGGAGAAATCCTGAAATAATTTTAGATTGAAATACGTCCCAATAAAAAGAAGAGATGAAAAATTTTGAACAGATTTTATATCTATTTATCAATATTAAAATCACTATATTCGATTAATATTGATAAATTTCATTTACAATTCAATTTCTATTTTTCAACTTTAATTAATGATAATATTCACTATTAATACATATAATATATAATTATATTCTAATATTAATTACAAATTATATATTTATTCAAAAGTTTAAATCTATAGATTATTTATGTAATGAAAACTATCTTTTTTTCTTTGATTAAAAAGTATTTTTGCCTTAACTCTAAATAGTTTGAGTTTGTTGTTTTACACTAGTCGGTCTCAAAACCACTTAATTCATTTAACTATTAACAAAGTTACCACCAGCCTAGTAGCTATTTGTTCTCATGCTTCTTTAACTTGCTATTTTCTATACACATTAATATTTACTTGTATATTATCTTATCCTAATTTACGGAGCCTATTTTCGTATTTTATTAAAATCCTCTTTGATGAGTATATTCTTCTCAAATATACCAAATTTTGGTTGTTCTCCTTTTTTGCACTAATGTTAATACTAAAATAATTTACATATTCCCCTTCTCCGTTTTGACTTCCCTTCTCCCACATACCACTATAATAAGATCCATCATTCCAAAACATCTTTCCAAAACCATGCCTCATATCTTCATAGAAATTGCCCTCGTATCTACTACCCGTTTCCCATCTGTAGATACCAAATCCGCATTTTTTATCATTGACATATTCCCCCTCATAACAATCAGATTGCTAAGCATTTTTGTCCTTAATCCAAGTTCCTTTACCATGTCGAAATCCATTGACAAAAGTCCCATTATAATAGCTTCCTGAATTCCACGAGTATTCTCCTTATCCCTCTGGTTTTCCATTGGCATACTGTCCTTTATATATGTCACCATTGGATAAATACTCAATTCCTTATCCATGTTTGAGATTATTGTGGAACTCTCCTTCGTACTTGTCTCCGCTTACTGTAACATACACACCATATCCATTTGGACTTCCCATCTTCCATTCTCCAATATAAGAATCTTTATTCACTCCAACCCAAAGTCCTTAGCCGTGTTTTAAACCATTTAACCAACCGCCTTCATAACTTTCGCCATTTGCCCAATTAAATTTACCCATTCCTTCTGGTTTTCCATTGATGTACATTCCTTCATAGATTGAATTATCTGGCAACTTTTCATATCCTTGACCATGCTTCCTGTCATTCTCAAAGTGCCCTTCATAAGTTCTCCCATTGTTACAAATCAAGACGCCTTTTCCATTTCTTTTTCCATTTGCCATCTACCCAAAATAGGACGATTCCTTATAAATTTTCAATTTGCAATTTTCCAACCTTTGGAGATTGCAATATTCAAATTGTTTATTGTGAGCCTTGTAGTTTAAAAATTTTTGGATGAATTCCTCATTTTCTTCAGTTCTTTACTCTTTTGGTACTCTAGTTTTCAAATTTGATTGATTACGGATTTTCATTTTACTGCAAATCATTACTTTCACTATTCTTGGAATATAATATAGACACTTCTGAGAAGTCCTTACAATTAACGATTGAATATTACATAAATTAATAAATAATGAATATTACTACGGATTCTTGCTAAAAAACACATCATCAAAACAACAGAATTATTGGTTTTTGTCTAAGATGCAAGGACAATTACCTGAGTTGCAAGTCTTGCTTTGCAGAATTCCATTATTAGCATAATGAAGACTTTCTATTAATTGACAACATTCTCCTAGTTGTAGATTAAGTACTACAAAAGATGAGGCAAGCAATAGAATAATTGAAGACCCATAATTTATTCGATGTTGGTACCTTTATCAATTCCAAATATTCTTAACTTAAAGAGATTGTAACTCAACTCATGAATTAAAACAATTAAATAAATAGACTCCATATTTAGATGTTTAACAACAACATTTAAGATAACACTTTAAATGAGATCTTGTGCTAGTTAATTGTGTAGTCTTCTTGCTTCAGTGAATAGTAATTAGAGAATATTAAATAAATATTTATTCAATCATTTCAATAGGTGTAATTGGACAATCAGATTAGAGAAATGCTTGATAGATGTACATCTTTATATATTTATAAATAAGGTTACCTCCTATGCTCAATTCAAAAATATCCAGAAGCACATAAGTTGTCCTAAGTGTTGCTAAAATTAACAAGTAAAAAATACTTCCTCAAAACCTACCTTTCACAATTTGATAGCATTACTAATAAGGAAATCTGGAATTTAGAATGCTTATTTGGAAGAAATCTTTATCTTTTAAAAAAATATGATCTGAGTATTGATTTCTTCAAGAAATTATTGTAATAAAATCAGAACGAACACATCCTTGCAGAAAGTTATATATATCTCAGTCTTAACTTAATTTAGACCAAAAAATATGCTGAAGCTTTGAATGAGCTTGCTGTATATCGTACTTTGAACCCTCGTAATATTCTCATTAATTTTTTTGAAGGTTTTTATGTAATTAATATTTTAGGATTTGCTTTAGAAAGAATGAATGAGATACAAGATGCTGTTTGGAAATATTAGGAACTAGCTCTGACAACTAATGATTTATTGTACAATTTAGCTTATGGTAAATGCTGATTAATAAAAATTAGGAAAAATCTTACTTTAAGCTGAGTTTTTCAATTAAGCTGAAGAAGTGTTTGAAAGAATCATATAGAATAATAATCAAAATGAGATTGCCTAAATCTACAAATGTATTTATGCATCTTATATAGGTTTAACCCTATTAAAAGGATAGAAATTTCCAAAGGCTTTGAAATAATCGTAGATTTTGATTGAATCCAAACAAAAGAGCGTTTATGGTTATGTCTTGAAAGGTAAAAAATATGGGATTCTAATTTAATAGGAATTATTTTAAAAATGTAAAAAAAGAATCAGGAAGTTAATATTATAAGCAATTAGTTGAATTTATCTTTTCCTGATAACAGATGGAATTATTTATTTTAAGGTTGCTATTATACATTATGATAGGCATTATCTTAATTTAAGATTCCAATTTTTGGGATGCAAATGGATATCTATAAAAAATAATAGATGATAAATATATTGAAGAAAATGTAAAAAGGATTTAGGTGCGCTCCTTACTGTAAGTGAAAAAAGTTCCAGAAGCTTTTGAAATTCTGAATAAAATATAGTCTTGCAAAGGATATGATGCAATGTTAAATGATACCTTTTATATGTTAAAACAAATTGGCATGACTTCTCAAGGGGCAATTTTGTTTAAAAGGTTATATTAAAAAAAAAAAGAGGATTCTGAAGCTGTGCATTTTGAAGGTTTATCTTTGATTTAAAATCAGGATAATGCTATTATAACGACGTGTAATATGATAAGGCCTTATAATGTTTCAATAAAGCAATAGATGCAAATCCGAAATAGTCTAAATCGTTCTATTACAAAGGTATACTATTTTGAAACCAATAGGTTAAATACAATTTAGAACATTCTAATTTGAATAAGCCATAGAGTCTTACTTAAATGCTGGTAAAACAAGCTAAAAATATAATAATCATTTTATAAGTTTCCACAAAGGAAATTTATATTTATTTTTGTTTTAATTTGAGAAGGCCTTAGAAGCCTATAATTTTGCGATTGAACAAGATAATTAAATAGAAACTACAAATGAAAGGAGATAGATTACATTAACAATGAAGGCGATAATACATTGGTATAAAAAAGAAGCTTAGAATGCTCTTAATTTAGTGGATAGAAATTTGTAGACGTCCACTTTTATGTTAAGTAATTAATTTTGAAAAGGAAATTTAGGCAGACTTTATAAGGAATTAAACTATGATTACTAGGCTGATTACAATCTAAATCTTTTTAAGTAAAACAATCCGGCTGATAGTTATAATTTTCAAAAATAAAATTATGATCATGGATAGATGTTCATAAAATATATGGAAAAGAACTCGTTATAGTTTGAATAATTGGATGATAGTAAATTTTGATTCATATCATAGGGGAATATGAAATTATGAAATATGCTGCATGGGTTTTAGATTACTATGCCTACGATATTGAGTTCGGATATAAAGATTGGGATTACAATAAAGTCTTTTATTTAACAATTTAAAATGAATAAGATGAAAAGTTGATTAGGGAATAATTAAAGCGTCAAGAAAAATATCCAATAATTTGATATATTTTATTAATAATTGATTTTTATAATGAATAAATTAGAGAAGGAAAAAGTCTAGAAATTAGCAAAAAAGGCTTTTGATAGTCTAGATGCTGAGGGAGAAGGGAATCTCTCATTGGAAGAATGTATTAAGGCTTTTAAAGTTCTGATGCCAGACAAATAAATTGATCCCACTTTGTTTCCTAATGAATAGATAACATTTTAAGAGTTCTTGCGAATTATCAGCATTATTATTGATAACTACAATGTCTGTTTTTGAAAAAAAAATATAATCATGACTTTCTACTAATAATTGATGGTCTTATGTCCCTGTTGTACACTTATTACTTTTAAACACAGGTTTCCTCCACACTTTCTTAGGAATCGAGATTATGTTTTTCAAGTGTTGGATTCAATATTTGTTTAGATTTTAGACTGATTGAATGTCCGACGTAGTCAGTGTATATTGTTGAGAAGGCATCTCCGAAGAAAGGATGTTGAAGAGCCTAATAGGCTGTTATTCTTTCTTCAGGATCTTTAGCTAACATGGCTTTTAATAGTTACTAATTATAAGAATTGAAAGTTTACAATGCAGTTTTTAGAATAATTATGTTGTTGGACTATGGACCAATCAATTTGACATTTCTTGTTGTTGGCTAAGACTTAATCTGAAGTTTGGCCTTAGAAGCAACTAATTCCTTTGGATAATCTATAAGATTGTATAACATCAGTACAGTTTAAAGAACACAACTCCAAGACTGAAAATATCACAAAGAGATGTCCACGCCTTCTATTAATCTTTTCTCATGTTGACAATTTCAGGAGCCATGTAGCCGGGAGTTCCACATCTATTATATTACAATTAATTCTTAATGCTGAGTCCAAAATCAATAAATTTGACACTATTATAATGTTGTTGTGAAATCATTATATTTTATGGTTTGATGTCTCTGTGTATGACTTATTCCTAGTGGATTACTGCCAATGCTATTAGCAAGGATTAAAGGATGGTTTTGATGTCTGACTCTTTAAGAACACATTGATTTTTCTTAAGTTATTCAATGAGAGTGGATAAGGCAATTCCATCTAAATATTCAACAATGATTCCATAATGGTACTCTTCCACTCGATACACTTCGTATATTTTGAGGATTGAATCGTGGTTGAAGGAGTGAAGAATTCCAATCTCGTTTTCTACTAATTGCTATAAATATACAGGTACTTTTACCATGTTTTCCTTGTCGTTCTTTTATTTGCTGGAAACATATTTCATGGCAAACACTTTTTTGTCATGTTATCTAAATATTTTGTACACAGAAGAGAAGGAGCCCTTGCCAATGAGTTCATCTATTTTATAGTGGTCATCAAGGGAATGGAACCCAATTAAACAACTTATTTCTTGTCTAAACTTTTAGAGTTATTCAGAAGTTGCTTCAAAGTACTTCACATTCTTTCTAATTTATTCTTATTTTTCAAAACTTACTTATATTTAATACCAAAGGCACGATTCTAGCCATGTTCTTGTTTCCAATAAACAATATTTTTCAAATTAAGTTCTAATTTGTACTTAGGATTTGGATCGTTGATATGCTAAGATGATGACTTATTTTTAATACTTCACCTATTGTAATCATATTGGGTAGAGCATGAACATAATAGACTTTATCTTTAAATAGATGACGACGCACGCATTTGAATGAGTATTTCACCGTCGCATAATTTATTGAAGGTTGTGTTTACGATGTTTCACCTGTTGATTAAAGCATATAAATAATATAATAAATTCAATTTGTTATATTAAATCAATTATTGGAATAGTTACTAGACATTCTACTTCTATTCTGCATTCTAAACTAACTGTTATTCATAACTCTTAATCCTTAAGTCTAGAATTAATATGTACACCACTTTAATCAATAAGATTTGTTATGTTAAGTATTTCAATAACGAAGTATACTATAATATTATGCATTAACTAATCAGAAAATTGTGCACTCTCCACAACATGTTCTGTTTTTTGGTTGTTCTTGGATTTCTCTTCGTTCATAATGTGATTTATTGGAGCTTTCTCTCAAGACTACCGATGTGACAACAGACTTATCATCTTCTTCCATTACAGTGGTTTCCATTTGACTCAGTAATTATTACACCTTCTATTCCTATCCATTGATCAAATCATCTAATTCATATTGCAGTCTTTGCTTCTCTTCAATCAATTATAACATTAGGAGCTCTTCATTCTTGGCGTTTTTCTCTTTCAATAATTGTTTCTACTCTTGTTTCTTTTATTTCAAAAGCATCTTCTCATCTAGTTCTTATTGCTTTAGTTTTTCTTATTTCATTCTTCTCTTCATAAATTATTAATTCTGCTTATTAATCTGCTCTTATTCTTTGATTTCCAAATTAATGTCTTAGAGAAGCATTTACTTATCCTTGATGTAATTGGTGAGTTGACTTAAGACCACTTGATCCTTGTTTGTTTGGGTCATGCATTGGCAAATCATATCTTCCAATTCATCTATTTTCTAATTTAATAAAATACAAAGCTACCTAATTCATAGTGAATATTTGCTCATCCTATTTGCATGTTTCTTGATCGATCTCTTCCAATTGTGACAAACACTTTTCATTCATCTCTTGTATTACATCATCTATTTGTTTTTCATCGAAATCCAGAACATGTTGATAGATCTCATTTTTATTGTCATCCTAGATTTTAACGACGATGTTTTCTGTGATCTCACTTTCGGCTTCAATTTAATTTTGGAGTTCCAAAACGAGAGAGAGAGCTCCAAACAATTATTCTTGATAGTAAGGGATGGCATCTAAAGACAATTAATCAACAACAGTTTAATCCATTTTTAATAATAAATTTTATATATAACGAATATTTAGCGGGTATTTTTAATCATAATTTCTATTTAGGTATAAACTCAAAAGGAGGAGGTTTGGCTTGCTTAACTTATTGAGATTTGATTAAAGGAGTCTTAACATTGGCCAATTGCTACAGTACTTCCTAGCTGACCTGAAAACTGAAGGGCAAATTCAAAGGTTGTTATGTTTGTTTCTTTTTATCTTCTTCCTCTTTAATCTTCGCATTTAATAGATCCAATTTCGAAGCATACTTCTTTTTAACCAATTCTAACTCTTCATACATCTATTACTCAATCTGGCCCTTGAGTCTCTTTCTCTCTTCCAAACTCATGGTCTAGATCTAGGCTTCTAAACTCAATTCCTTAGTGTGTTCAACCTTCTTCTTTTGATGATCACTTATTTATTAGTCCATTTTATTCCATTTCAAGAAATCAGGTTCCTCCTTTGCCTGAATCATCTAATCCTTAATGACTAGAGTGCCGTAATCACCATGAGACATCTCATCATCGACCTCTTCACAATTTGAAATAATAGTCAATGGAACCTATTCCTTAATTGATTACTAACTATTCTCGTTCTTCTGCAATTTGGTTAATCTTGCTTCTACTAATTACTTTGAATATTGTTCCACTAAAGTGAGTAACTTTTTTTAATGTTGTTTTCCCTGTTTGATAAAGGTGTATTGCAATAATTGTTATGCAGTTGGTCTCTCATTGACTTCAACTTTCAAACAGGCTTTAACAAATTAATTGAATTCCTTCGACCACAATTCAGGTTTAGTAAGTCCAATGGGCGGATTATTCTTGATGGCAAACATGGCTCTGACTGGATGAATATGAGAGTATGGCGGAGCACCTTCTGCCAATTCTATTGCTGTGACTCCCAGAGACCAAATGTCAGTCAATTAATTGTAACGTGACTTGCTAATCACTTCAGGACTCATCCAAAAGGGTGTTCCTATAAATGTCCCCTTCAATTTAACATGAATAGTCTACTTTATCTGCACATGAATAAGTCAACTAGGCAGCAACTCCAAAATCTGCCAATTTCACTTAACCCTTGTGATCCAGCAATATGTTCCCTGCCTTTATATCTCTGTGGATTTTCTTGTTTGAATGTAGGTATTCAATCCCCAATAATGTCGAATACATAATCGCACTGATCTCCTCCTGAGTCAACCCTCGCTCCATCACTTCGATCAGACCCAACACAGAACCCGCTTCACAATATTCCATTATTAACCAAAGATTACTCTCCTTGTAATAGGATCCTAAAAAAGACACAATGTTCGGATGTTAACAATCCTTATTAGAGAAAGCTTACTTTCAAAATCTTTATTTCCTACACCAAATTGTCAACCTCATCAACCATTGGGATTATTTTGATTGCCACTATTTATCCATCTTCTTTGTGTCTCCCCTTGTACACCGTTGCATAGGCTCCTTCCCCTATTAACTCCAACAACTCGAACTCTTCTTCCGGATCGTGATTCCAATACATTTATATTTTAATCGGATTAATACTATTTTGAATTCAAGAAAAACAAATTAACTACAGACTCATCTCACTTGGAATGTCTCATCAACTATTTGAAGATCTTGATAAGCATAATTGATGTATTTGGCTATCTGCACAAACTAACCCTTGATCTTGTACTCGCTCTTCCCCTCCAATATCTCAAAGTACTACCCATCATTGAACGAGAGCACAATCTTGTAATGCAAAGTCGAATTCTGGATTGCTAACATCAATTAACCATAACACTCTTACAATCCATCCCCCTCTTCACCATCCGCATGTTGCTCAGATGCGAGATCTTCTATTCCATTACCTTCTTCTGACAACAGATATTCCTATAACACAGTATTATCTCATCTTTCTAAGCATACACAATTCCTGTACTTCCTTGTTGAAGATCAGCTTCTCCCTCTTCGTGGCAATCAAAAAACTGATTCCTATTCCCATTATTATGAAAGACACAAAGTACTACCACCAAGTGGTTCCCTGCTTAAACACCTTCCCTTCCAATCCCCAAATCAAATTGTACAGCAAATATAGCGAAAGCATAATTATCAATATTCCTATTCCCCAAATACTAAGCCATTTGCATTATTAACTTACAACACAGGAACTCTGTACAAAACCAGCGATTTCTAGTCCTTTGAAATACTTCTCATTATTTTTTCTGCGTCTATCTTGTTATCAACGCAAAATTACGATTCAACTACTTCTCTGTCAATTCTATATCGTCACTCTTCCCAGCCAAATACGATTCTGATCTTTTCACCCGAGTAATTGCAGATATTGCACCAACTCTTCCAAATCTCATTATATTATTATTATTATAAAAAATCAACTTGATTATTATAATATTAATTCTTGCGCATTAATTTCATATCATACTATTTAATAAAGATTGATTAATTTAGACTATGTGAATTAAGAAAGAAAGCGTAATATTTTATATAATAATAATAAATTCAAATTAGGAAATTAATATCGATTACTCTATTAGGAAAAGTATAAAAAATATTAAAACAAATATAAGAGGGAATATAAAACTATTTACAAATATAAGAAATAATAATTCTTAATTTTTGAATAGAAGAAGAAGTTCATCTTTATACCAAGTGTTATGATTATAGTGGAAGAAGAGTATTGAAACAGAGCTCAGTGATTTGATTATATAAATTAATCACAAAATTATGCTCTATATTTAGATTTTCTAAGAACCTAGAATGTATATGTTTTTTATAATTAATCGCTTATTTTGAATAATTCAATTTTGGATATATCTCAAAATGAAACTCATTACGATTTAGTTCTTTAGTACAAGATGAATGAGGAATAATAATAATAATATTAAAGTAGTCTACTTCAAAGGAGAATTTTAATAAAGAAGGATAAACAATTATTTTTGTTTGATATTTTTTATAAAAATGCTATAATATCCTTGTAAATATTGAAAGAATATTCAATTCATAAGCAATCCTTGATTTAAGCAGCAATTACAATCTCAGACTAATTTAATAGATTGACTATAAAAATACGATGAAGTATAATTTGATTTAAATAAAAAGCACATTCATAATAAATTAAAAATACAAGGTTAAAACAATATAACTAGAAAATCTGCATATAAAGTTCATAATGTATGTAAATTTGATAAGAATATTTACTGATTCAGATGAATTTAGAACAGTTTAGGAAATATACTATTTATTATTATACCCTCGGTATCTTTCAAATCTGAGTTATACTATATTGGTATTTGCATCTGATATTCTTTCATATATAGAATTATTTCTTATTTTCTATTCTTTTTTTTTATTAATTTTATATATAATTTTAATTGAATTGTTTAATGGATATTAATACAGAGGAACCCGAGATAGGTAATTACTATTGATTATTTTGCAGGAAAAAAAGTGTGTGTTGAGCCTGTAAATCCACCACTACGATTACCTACTAAAATTGATATAAGCGTGGTACAATATTTTTATTAAGATGAAGATTGATCACGAGACACCTAAAAAGTATTTCAAATTAAAAACTCTCTAAAATTTGTTAATGTGGTTATTTTGCAAGAATCAAGTGAACCCACTATGGCTGACTGTGACTGTAAATTTTTGTTATCAATAATAAAATAGAATAAGCATTTAATCAGATGTGGAGTAGTGATGAATTTGAATTTCGGGATAAATTTGGAGACTTCTAAATATTTATCTACCTTTAGTCAAAAAGACAAGATTGTGTATTTCAAAGAATTGGATCAGGGGAAGGGAAACTTTTGGCAGTCACTATTCTATACTAGGTATCACGAAGATCCAGTATTCCAAACATAAAAGCAATAATAATTGGATTCGTAGAGTGGTTTACAAGAAGAACATATCTACAATCAATATAGGAATTTCGTCTTAAACAAGGAATAGCTTAAATTCAACTTTTACCCAATTGATGAAAATATCTATCATGATTATGTGAAATTAGATGGGGAAGTGCAGACCAACAGGACGAACATATTTGCAATGGATTGCGAGATGGTGCAGACAGAAAACAAATTAGAACTTGCGAGAGTGTCGATAGTAGATTACAATTACAAAGTTGTGCTTGATGTATTGGTCAAACCACAAACAAAGATCTTGGATTACAACACTAAGTATTCAAAGAATAAAATAATCCTGTAGATATAGCGGTATAACAGAGGATATGTTGAGTAATGTTACTGTTACATTGGTTGAGGCATAAAAGATGGTGAAATCTATTTTGGATGAAGACTCAATTTTGATCGGTCATTCTCTGGAGAATGATTTGAATGCTTTGTAGATAATACATCATAAATGTGTGGATACGAGTGTGCTTTACATGACAGAAAGTAACAGAAAGTTATCATTAAAAAACCTTGCATATAAATATTTAAATTTAACTATTCAAAAGGTAAATAATAAATCTATTTATAGGACACTCACGATTCAAATGAGGATGCCAAAATCGCATTGTCTTTGGCCAAGCTAAGAATCGAAATTTGGGATCACTTTCCAAGCACTTTGTTTACTCAATAATAAGCTGCTACTCCGGATGTCTTAATTTAGCTTAAGAAGTTGGGAGGCATACATCTAGTGGAATCGAAATCGGAAGTAGAATTCCTGTTAAAATACGATGTTGGTTTTGAGGATGTCGAGTAGATCTCTGATGAAAAGAGTAATTAAACCTTAAAAATCAAATAGAAATGTAGAGGATGGCTGAATTGCTTAGGTAGAGGAATGCTAATGCTGTGAATCCCAAATTGATCTTTGCTCAGATACAAAACAACTTTGAGGAGTTCGAAACTTCTTTTCAGAACATGTATAATTTGGCCCCTTCTTAGACAAGTATTTTGTTACATTAACTTTTAAGTATTTATACTGTCAATTGGAGGAGAATAGTAATAATTTCTGTTAATTACCAAATGATAGTGTTTATTATTCATCTATAATTATTATTCGATATGTTATTTGTGTATCTCATTTCTTCTTGATCTTATTTAGCAGTTTGAATATTCTTCTCTAAGTAAGAACATTTTTTTCTCTTCCACTTTATGGATCATTTATTATTCTATGGTTTCTAAATCTAGGTTTTAAGCAAAAATGAGTATATCCATATCTGCAATTTAAGGTCGATACATTTGTCCAGTAATCAAATAATTAAAATTAAAATTAAATAAGGTTGAATGGCAGAACGAAATATAAGTGAGAATTCATTAGATTCAAAATGGCAGAGTAAGACTCAAAGTACGAATGAAGACAAAATAACCGGTCTTTAAGCAAGACCTTACAATTACAATTGTAATTATTAAATATTATTATTAGGCTAATTAGACTAATATAATGTGAAATTATGTGGATTAGTATTCGACGCTATCGGAGTCCCAGACTTTTTTGTATAATGTGAGCATAGGAAGAACAGCCAAACAGATGTCTTACAATGATTAAAGAATATTCGTTATTTTTATTGTCCAAAAGTCTTTGGGCCTTATATTTGTTGTTCTTCTAAACTTCCCCATCAGAAGAGATGTTCACTTTTGGATTGTAAACAATAATCATTAATGATGTCATATTAATTTTGATCATAATGAATAAATTTTTAATTTCTCTCGAACATACCCTTCGAAAAGAACTAATTATATCTTATATGATGATCCCAATAATCCAAGGATGAATTCTTGATTGAAGGTAATTGAACCCAAAAAAATTATATTATTAATTATTTCTTCTATATCATAATAATCGAATCATTTTCGATAACTGAACCTTCCTAATAAATGAGTAAATTTTCTGAAAAAACCAAGTTTTTCAAAAATGGAGGGATTATTTTATTTACAAAAGAAAGTTGTGACATTGCTTTGCTTGAGATTTTTATTTTTATAATATTAATTTAAATGGCCGAAACGAAAGAGGAAGTTAAAGCCTAACCCAAAGTATATGCTTATGCCGATTTAATCGAATTCGAAAATAAGCAAGCCTTTAGTTCAATAGGGAAGATGCCACTATCAACCAAATAGACACTGCCTAGTTTTAGTTTTGGCTCAGCCGAACGTGCAAATTAAGCGAAACTTTATCACAACAAAGAACTTGCGAGAATAGATTTTGCAGGTAAGAGAAATTATGTACAAGATCAAAGGCAAGGCCAGTCCTGGACCTGTGTACAATGTACGAGGAGGAGATCACTTTTATTACACTTAAGATGCGAATACTAAATTCGGAACCGATCCTCGTAATACCTTGGGTACAGGAGCAAAGTTTGATTACTATCAAAGGAAGGATGTGGATGTAAAATTTGAATTTGAATTATGATAGTTTGAACCTCAAGAAGCAGATTTGATTCGAAAACCCAAATATCCAAACGTTAAGATTGGATTGGAATCCAGAGTATGATTCTGAAATATTAAGTTCCCTCCCGAAAAAAGATTGAAGGGAACTCCTGGTCCTCAATACGACCCAGCCATTAAGCCTGAGGTGCCCACTCCTGCTCAATATTCATTTGGATATAGGAGAGACATACCAGGGGCATCAGCCTTGGCTCCGACTTGTTCTACCCCAGTGATAGTGGGACCAGGGGCGTACCTGTAGAAGCCTCCTGCAAATACAAGCAATTTGGAGGATGCTCCTCATTGGACTTTGCCTAAGGGCCCCAAGTTAGGGAAGATCTTTGAAGGGTGGGATAAGAATCAAACCTACGACACCAAACAGTAATGTTAATGACATTAAAAGGATTGCTGTAGGAGTGCAAGTGAATTCTAAGAAAAAGTCATATCCAGCATTCAGTGTGGGCAAGTCGACGAGGGAAGCGAAGGTTGGACATTTCACGTAATTAATGGTGAAGGTTCCATCGAAGGTGCACATACCACATCCAAAAATATGATTATTTAAAGATTTCATATTAAGAATATATATGTATTTGAAATATATTTTACATTAATAAAAATAATGCAAAAATATTTAGGTGCTATCTACTACTAATTCAGGTACTTGATGGGCCGTGCTTTCAAAGAGACTGGGTTGTGTAAGTGAGCATATGTCTAAACTGCATAGATTTTGATCAATACGGGTCTCGTTTATCCAATGACATTGCTTGGTTAGAGCCATTATCAAGACACAGAAAGATTATGCCACTATTCGGATTCTACAAACCAAGAATAAGCGAATCAGCCAACATTCAAGACAATGCAAGTTTGATTGGGCAAGTGAACCTTGGAGAGAATGTGCAGATTGGATATGGAGCTATCTTGAGAGCAGATGATCAAGCCATCAGAATAGGTTAGAACAGTGTGGTTGGTGACAACACCTAAATCCAATGCTCTAGAACTCGACTTCCAACAAATGTATTGGCAAGTGTGACCATTGGTATGTCGTATTAAGTTGAATCTCTTAGGCCAAAATGTTACCATCGGAGATAGTTGCATTATCAACAATTCAATCATTGATGACAACGTTACTATTGGGTCCAGGACACTCATACTTGATGGTGCTCAAATCGAAAGGGGATCATAAATTGCTGAAGACAGTGTTATACCTCCAGGAAGATTGATTCCTTCTGGTTAATTATGGGCAGGCAATCCAGTATAATTTGTTAGAAACTTGAACGAAAAGTAGATCAATTGAAATCATAATATAATAAATATAATATCAGTATAAATCAAATATGGTCTTCATATAAAATTGAACATGTTTTCTGTAAGTTTGGAGGTTTTCGAAATGAGACAGCAAGTCTAATAATTATGATGGCTTGCCTTTTCTCATCTGCATAGCCAATCTTGCGATCAACTACCTATCAATAGTATGTTTCTATTTTGCTGCGTAAATCAACTCACCCACATTGAATTGTAATATGCTACTTTCATGACCTTAAAAATTAAATCCGTAATCCTCTTCCTTAAACTACTCTAATTGTTTGTATGTCACATCAATGAAACCTAATATTAATTCAGGAATCCCTCGAATCATTCCCCTTACCATCAGATAATCCCAGCATCTTATGCAATCATCTAATTTGAACACATAGATGAACAGTGATAGAATCATTTTGCTAATCCAGAGTGAATCATTCACATTTTTCAGCTTCAGTTTTGGAAACTTTTTACGAATAAGATGATGTATCAATTTAATAAAAAAGAAATGCAGTGGCATATCATGACAAAAGTTAAAGCACAGCAAATGTTTTTCATTAGTTAACATTTACATAAAGCATTGGAAGGTCTTGTGTTCATCGCAGCCTGACACTATCAATGCCAAAGCACAGACAAAGTTCATTCCTTAACAATAACCCACTCCTGGCAATGCATTTGATATGGCACAGAGAATTCTCTTGAGTTGTTCTTGGCCACAACTTTCATGTTTGAATAGAGCATGATTGACGAGGGTTCTGTCAATATCTTTCAGAATGCTTTTGACATCGAGGGGGCTGTATTCCAAGTATTTTTCATAGGATAATTGGATTTGTCCATTGGTAAGAAGTGCGTTCCAAGTGGCCCAGCGATATTATTTGGGTGGTCCGAGAAGCACTAGTTCTTCGAATTCTGGTTTATTGCATAGAAGATTGATGGTGGTTTGGATGTCATCAACATAATTCAAGGTGGCAATGGCTTGAGCCCATCTTTAGGCTGAATGTTCGTTCTTATAGTGGGGTATTGCTGGTCCACATTGAACGATCTTAAAAAAATTGGCATTTTCCTTGTCCATTAATGATTGGACACAGGAACCTGATTTTAGATCTTCTCTTCTCCATTTGGTGTCAGGAGATCCTTGACGAGTCGGATTGTTTTGTATTTCTCCTAAGCAGACATTGTTGTTTCCCATTGACTAGATAAATAAAATTAATGATAAAATTAAACAATAATTGTTAAATAAACTAATATTCAAATCTGATTATTGCATAAATTTGAAACACATGCGAATTATTATAATATTAATACAATAATATCATTTAATCATTTTTGCATCATAACCAGTGCCTGGAGCCAAAACCTTGATTCTGGGTACTCGAGGGAATGAGCGCAAATAATTTTTCCAATCCTGCCTGTAATTGTGAGTCTAGTAGAATGGGGTGGGAGGTTTCTGCTATTGATAAGACTATCTGCTTGCACTCATGAATCCTGCCGAGTTGACTCTTTGGAGAGGGGCTTAGTTAGTGATGGCTGTCGATTTAAATGGCTATTTGGTAATCCCAGAGGGGACACGAACAACGGCGAGAGTTTACTGTTTTTGCATAAATTATTTATTAAATACAAATAAGAATAGTTGTCACTTATTCTTATTCTAATTTATAATGATTTTTGATTGCACATTTGAAGAGTAAAATTAAATTTAGGATTTGTTCTGTTTAATGAATGTTTTAAACCTGTTAAATAAATTCATATTTAATTATGATTATAATTAGAGCCTTCAGAAATACTTTTTGCAGAGCCTCTATTTCAACAACCACAACCACATCATTTCCTCAGGTTTACAGGCAGAAATCGCAACTCCTGGAAGTGTCAGAATCATGCAAAATTATCAACCAAATGCCACACGAACTCATCGAACAGAGTTGCAATATCATCACCAACCATTTCTTCCCACTTCATGAAAACTACAAGCGAATCATACCCAAAATCGAAGAAGTCCTCAAGAACCCTTCATTAACCAAAGGCACCATTTTTTAGGGTCAAGACTCCCAATAAATTGCTGAACAGATTTATGAAATGGTCATCTTGATAGTAGATTTTGCAGACAAATTGAACATCGGCTTTTTGACTGGAGACATCCACCCACTCACATTCAATATCATCCAGAGAGAGATTGAAATCACGCAAGATGTCGATCTCTTGAATGAGAATCTCAAGAAGTCCCTATTCAATATTGGTAAACAATATAAATTGCCACTCAACGGTATCAAACACCCCGATAATGAGAACCCCAGGAATTTGTTTGAGAGACAATTAATCATCGAATAAGTGTCCAATGAATTGGCACTCGACAAATTCTAGTAGGTTTTCGATGACTTACAGAGGATGTCCAAGGCACAACATTTGTTTGCTGCTCAGAAATACATTGTGGAGTGGTTCCCTAAGTTGTGCGCTTTGGTCTAGTAGGAGTAGATCCAATGTTTCAGTGACCCTAATAAAGAACAGCAAGGGTATCATTAATACATCACAGCAATTCAGAGTGAGAAGTTGGCAATCATAGCCTTGTCGGAGTTGATGAAGGAATTCATTGAAGCGGCTGTGTTGTTCCATGAAGAGAAGACCACCTTGAATTGTTATCAAATCAGAGTCACTCGTTTGGCCAATCGAATCGGGGAGCAAATAATGAAGCAGCATTTGTATGAGGAGGAATAGAAGAACCTAAGAAGGAAAAGCAAGGAAGACATTTAGAAGATGATAGAAGAAGGAACCATCCCTCAAGATTAGTCAGAGGAGGAAATCTAGAATCAGAAGGAACTCTTCTACAAGTAGGCAGTGGTCAAGGCTGGCAAGTTGTTGAAGACTCAAGAGGAGAAACTAAGGGAGAGAATTCGAAATAACAGAATATATTTGGCTAAGTATGGGTAGGCTATGCCAAAAGACATCGCATCTTAAATTGGTATGGTTTTGGTGCATTTCTTGGTTGATTCGATTAAGTTCAGAAATGAGAACAATTTCTGGGTGCCTGTGTTGGTCTAAGGATACAAAAAAGTGAAGTAGGATATTGAAGTTGCAATTTTCAATGTGAATCAGCTGTTCTTGCATCATCTATCAGCTGGAATGCATAAGGACAATTCATACTTTATGCATCTCGATAGAGCCTTGCCTATGATATATCCTCCAGCCAAATGGATGGACACTCAAATAGGTGGTTATTACTTGAAACCTACAAATTTGATTAGAATTTAAGATTAATCATTGTAGGAGGATGCAGCCAAGAGAGCCAATCTCTAAAATCTATATGATATCTTAGACAACATCAGCAAGGTGGCTTGGAGAGTAAACAACAAAGTCTTGAATATCGCTATGTAAGTGTGGGAGTAGGGTGGAGGGATAGCTGAAGTTCCAAAAAGACAGCATGATAAGACCTACGTTTTCGAACATCAAATCAAAGAGTGCAAGTCTTATGAAGAGAAATATCAGTTGTTGAAAATGATACAATCACAGAGAGATCTTTACTCATTGCAATGTGATTTTACATTGAAATTGGGAGTGGCCTTGGCTTTCAATGGATGTTCTAAGATTTACTTCCCACATAATATGGATTTCAGAGGCAGATTGTATCCCATACCTCCTCATCTTAATCACATGGGTCCAGACATTGCTCGAGGGTTATTGGAATTCTCGGAAGGCAAGAAACTTGGGAAGAGTGGATTGAGATGGTTGAAGATTCACTTGGCTAATAAGATGGGTAAGGACAAGTTATCGATGGAGGACAGAGAAACTTACGTGGATCAGAACATAGATTCAATTATTAAATGTGCTGAGGATCCCATAAAATATTAGGATTGGGCATAATTGGAAGATGCTTGGCAGAGTTTGGCTGCTATGTTTGATTATGTGGCAGCCATCAAGTCACCAAATCCAGAGGAGTATGTGTCTCATTTGCACGTTCATTAGGATGGTTCATGCAATGGTCTTCAACATTATGCTGCTTTGGGTAGAGATGTTGAAGGTGCTACCTAAGTGAATCTAGCAAATACTTCTAAACCTGGAGATGTTTACACACATGTGGCTGGTATGGTGGAGAGGAGAGTGGAATTTGATGCCAAAGATTCCTTAAGCAAGGATCACATAATTGCATTAAAATTGCAGAATCAAATCAAAAGAAAAATAGTTAAATAGACAGTTATGACATCTGTGTATGGTGTCACTTTCATAGGAGCGAGAGAATAAATTCATAGATAATTGAAGGATAAAGGAATCATTGGGGAGGATGACCACTTGCAATACTAAGCCTCCATTTATTTGGCTCGAATTACATTGGATGCAATCAAAGATCTTTTTGAAGGAGCTCACAAAATTAAGTAATGGCTTATTAAATGTGCTACCATCATATCAAATGAAAATTAGCCAGTGAGTTGGATAACTCCACTTGGTCTCCCTGTCATTTAACCTTATCGTTCCTTAAACAAATACGACGAAGTAAAGACCCTGATAAGCAATGTTTCCATCGAAGCAGATGCTGCAAATGTAAATATTTGTTATTATATTTTTATAGTTGCCAATTAATAAGGTTAAATAGAGATCCGCCTTCCCACCAAACTTCATTCACTCTTTAGATTCAACACATCTTATGTATTCATCTATTGAGTGTCTCAAATAGTATTAGTTTATGATAAATTATCGCTAGAGGGATTACATTTGCTGCAGTCCATGATAGTTATTGGACCCATGCTTGTCATGTCGACAAATTAAATGAATTGTTGAGAGAACAATTCGTAAGATTGCATTCTCAACCACTTTTGGAGGACTTGAGGGATTCATTCTAGAGAAGATTTCCTCATTTAGAATTTCCTCCAATTCCAGAGAGAGGACAGTTTGATTTAGAGAAGGTCAAATAAAGTGTGTATTTTTTTGCTTGATATTTTATATATATATATATTTATTTATGTGTGTGTGATTATGTTGGGTCTATTGATTTGTGTAATGAAAATGAACATTAGTCATAGTCATATAGGTGTAGAATAAAGAAGAGAGAGAGAGAGATTATATATATATATATATTATTATTATTAATTTTATGATTGACAGAAGACATGAGAAAAAGAAGAGTGATAGTAGTAATACGTTAAGGATCAAAAAAAGAGAGAGTGAGGAAGTGGAACCAAATAATCTGTTTTAGAATTCTGATCGGTTTAATTCTAATCATTCATAATTCAAGCACTCACTTAATATCTCTGATAAAAGCAGTTTTCTTGGTCTCTAGAATCCTTTGTTATCATAGGCTAGTATTTCTGACCGAGAAAATCGCAGCAAAAGATATTCTCAGGATGAATTTCAAAACAACCTGGAATTTGAATAACCGATACCTTTGATTCAATTACTTGAGCATGAGATCAGACTACGTTGTAGACCGGAACTACTCAAGTAAACAAAGTGTTGCGGCGATTAAAGTGAGTAGATTGTCGCCAATCCAAAACCAACTCCAGAAATTGACGTAGATCAGGATATTTTACGAAAATACAACAAGCATTACACTCGAAACTACAAAAGAGATCCTTATTACATCAAACTGGTGGAACTACATGGATACCAAAGAATCAAACACGAGCTTCAGGTAGTCCTTTTTATTTAATTGTAGAATTATAACGATCCGTATGCGTTGCTTAATGTGCGAAAGATCATTGTTTACATCTCTTTTGTCATCCCCATCATGGCCAAGACCATAATACATTCCATAGCATTTCAGTTATTGATGACAGTATTGATTCTCTTCAATATCACCCTTTATGCAATTGTGAAAACATAACATAGATAGGATACTGATCAAATCGAATAAATCATTACTATCCTATTTTTCACCGAAATTGGATTGCGTATCATATCATAAGGCCTTTTCTTTTCAAAACACGCTTACTTTGTTAATTTCTCAAACATATTCGATTTTTCAATCGTGATGTTGTCAGCCATTAACTTGTATAGACCAGATATTGTGATTATAGATCTATCGCCACTTCGTATTATTACCTTGTTGTAATATTTGGGTGATATTTTCGATGGCTTAAGAGTGATGTTGACAGCCTTAAGACAATCGATTCGATATATATTGGAGGCTTTGGCAATTGTGGGCTTGTTCTCATTGTTTTTTGCCTTGGCTGGAGTGTTCCTATTTTAGGGATTGTTCAATTATAGATGTGTGCCTATAAACGAGGAAATGGGGGATGATTGGATTCAATGCAATGTAGATCATTGTCCTGAGGGAATGGAATGCAAATACGTTGACGAGACAATCAAGTTGCCAACCTCTTTCAACAATATCATATACTCGTATGGTCAGATTCTGAGAACCATCACGATGGATGATTGGAGTTGGGTGATGTTTTTCACAATTAGAATATTCAATCCTTGGATTTGGATTTATTATTTATTGATAATTTTTGTATGTGGGTTTTTTAGTTTTAATTTGGTTATAGCTGTATTGAAAACTCATTATGCAGAAGCAACTGAATAGTTTTTTTAATAATAGGAACAGTAAGAAATCAATAAAAAATTATTAGAAGAGAAATCAAATCTAGAGAGAGATGTTACGGATGTTTTTGATGTTGCAATGCTTCGATAAATTGGATTTCACAAGACTTTCTAATAATATTATAAATTACTCAATCAACCCAAAAAATTAACACAATATAAATTGGAGGATTTTCAAACCAAAAATTCTACTCAACCCAGATTGCTATCCGCCAAATAGAGACTGAACAATAACACAACTGTAAATTATTATGATTGATTTCATAGAATAGCTGTTTTGATAAATTGTTTCAATATTTAAGAGAATTCACGTTAAAAAATATTTTATTAACCAAATTCAAAAGGCTCAGCAAGCAACAAAAATCAATTGTACTCAAGAATTATACTGAGGATGAAGATTAACTTAAAATTTTGGAAGATCTAAACAAATTTGAATTAGCCTAATTATCAAAATAAGTCAATCCAAAATAATATCAAAAATATACAAGTTTAGAAGATGTGTTACCATCCTTTGCGTATTAATATACTTTCTATATGAAAATAGAAACATTAGAATTTCCAAGTAAAATATTGATGAGAAGGTTATCGATTATACCAAATATTAATGTTCCTTCGAATACTTAGTCCCACATAACTAATAAATATTCAGATCCAACATAATTAGGAATGGTTTTAAATGTCCCATCAAAAAAAGTTACAGGGCAAAAAAGAAATAGATTTTTCAAGATGCAGAATCTCAACACTCCCGCGTTGCTCATACCATATACATCCGAAATGAGAGGAAGATTGTAAAGGGATTCAACAAGTAGATGCTGAAATCAAAGCATTCCATTCCATTCACAATCAGAAAGTCAAATGTTACTTATCTATTTGTTTAAGGGTATTATTTGAGTTATGATAAAATTGCATTTAAAATGAAGCAAAAGATTGAGAAAGAAAAAGTCAACAGCCTCACCTTTGATCTTGAATACAAGAAAATGAGAATGAGGGAAATTAAAAAAAAGAGGATCATTGATCAAAATTGGTCAGGAAACGAAGTCCTCGATACCTAGTACTCTACCTTTAACTTTTAAAATGTCCTTGTGACATTAAATAAAACTGATTTTATAGTTTGGATTAAAGGGGTATCCGGGATATTACAAATCCTTAGGAAATATGTAAATAAAATAGTTTCTAGTAAATTTACTGAGATTGCATTGGATCTTCTTATATTCATAAATTTCACATTTTTAGCATTGTATGGCATAGCTGATGCTTCCATCATCTCTCAAGTTGAAGATTTCACTACAATAGTGTTATCCATAGAGACATTTCTTCGATACTGCAGTATTTCATTTAAAGAACTATCCAATAATAATGAGAGTATTCTGTAGACCTTAATTGTTATCTTGAACTTTATTGAATTTACAATGAGCGATTACATGACGAAGTTAACTGAACAGAATTTGAGATTGATTAGAGGAACAAAATGTTTACTATTCTATAGATGTCTAAAATATAACAGTATGGCAGTGACAATTGGTCACATTGCATCCAAGACCTTTAAATCTTATATATATTTGACATTTTTGATGTTTATAGTGATATTTTTGTATGCGTTGGTTGGAATGGAAGTATATGCAGGAGAGTTTGATTAGAATGATGTCTTAGGGTAATTGCATTCATACAACAATGTCCTGAAATCGTTTATGACCGTCTTTAATATCATGACAAATGATGATTGGTATGGAGTGTTTGTTTTGGGTACTGGAATAGATGAGACATTTGGAATATTGTATTCATACTCTATGGTAATTATACTTAATTACTTAACATATGGATTAGTGTTGGCTATTCTATTGGATGGATTTAGCAAGTATTTAGATAGGTAAATATTCTCAGAAATAGAAGATACAGAACAATCTAAAATGTAGCCATCTAATATTGAGAAATAAGATACTTAAAATACATAGTAATTAACTGATATCAACCAGACAGCTTAGATAGATTTGGTTAAGAATCGTAAAAAGAAGACTGCTTTAATTCAACATCTAATAAACTCAATCAGATAAATCAATTAAAAAATATTGGATGCATCTCCTGAACTTTATGATGGAATCTAATGTGAACAATCTTTATTTTTTTTCAACAAATCCAATCATTTCAGAATGATCTGTATGATAATTGCCAGGTCTAGATTATACAAATTAATTAACGATGCCTCTCTGACATCATCAATAATCATTCTAATCATTCAGACTTATAATGACTATGAGGAAAACAAAGAAATGTATCCCCAGAGAGTTTTATTTTACCTCAACATCATCTTAGCAATAGAATACATCATCAATTTAATAGCCAAGGGATTATTCCTGGATCCAGGATCACATTTCAATTCCATCTGGCAGATCGTGGATGTATTTTACATTATTTCATTCTTCTTTTAATACGAGAAGGATTACTATGTAAAACCAATTTTTTAGATTCTACTTTACTTTGGATATTTTAGACCATTCAATCTTTTGAATAGAATTAAATTTTTGAATGTTTTAAGTTCAGCACTCTATCAATCATTGGTGGATATTTTAAATGTATTGTTAACTCTCTTTTCAGTCTGGATCATATTTGGAGTGTATGGGATCATATTGTATGAAGGATAATTTGGATTTTGTGAAGATAAGATGCAATTCAGAGTCAATTATGAGGACTGTATTCAACAGAATAGGACATGGGTCAATTTCAAACACAACTTTGACAATATCACAATGGCTATTCCAACATTGTTTACAGTGTCCACTTTTGATGGTTGGGGTGAAATGCTCCAAATTGCTGAAAACAGTGACAGTCGAAATGTTGGACCTGTGCCATTTAATAGTTATATACATACCTATGTCTTTTTCATTACCTTTTGCTTTATTGGATCTATGTTTTTCTTGAGTCTGTTCACAGGTGTCTTATTTTCTAACTTGAAGGCAAATCAACGAAAAATTGAGTAGGGGGAATTCAATTAGAATCAGAAGGAATTTATTGAGATATCGGAAATCATCACGAAGGACATTCCTGTATTTTCTACACCTCCTGACAATGTCATTAGAAGATTAGCATCAATCATCATGAATAGTTCCATAATGCAAACTTTCTTTTTGCTCATCCTTTTGTTGGATGTGGTTAACAATATCATTTTCCATTTTGGTATGAATATGGAATATCTTGAAATTATTAATTACATCCATCATGCATTTTCAGTATTCTTCACAATTTGGAGTATGCTACAGTATTTGGCTTTGGGATTGTTTAGGTTCTTCGATAATTATTGGAGACAATTCCTTTTCATCCTGAATCTCTTTGCAATAATAGATCTCGCAATAGATCTCAAATACAACTGGGTAGAAACCTATTATTATTCAAGTCCTTTGACTTAATACTATAGACTCTATAGATTGTGTTTTGCTATGAGGAGTCTAAGATTGATCCTCATTTTTTAGGGTCTGATCAACATTTAGAGACTCATGAGAGTTATGGTGTATGCACTCCCATTTTTAGGCAAAATATTCTTCATTCTAATAGACACAATGTTGGTGTTTGCCTTATTTGGCTGTTAACTATATGGATAGATCGATTCAGGGTAGGTTATGGATGATCAAATCAACTTTCATAACATTGCCTAAGCTATGCTTACTCTATTTAAATGTGCATCAGGTGATGATTGGAGAACCATAATGACTGACACGATGCATCATAATCCTAATTGTTCTACAGATTCAACCTATTGTGGTTCTACTTATAGTTAAATTTACTTTTTTTTGTTTATGTTGTTGTCCAATTATGTCTTTTTAAATTTGTTTGTGTTGGGACTGATCGAATAATTTGAGTCATTTTTTTAGGTTTAAAATTCAATAATACAAACTTATGTAGAAAATGAAGATAGAATAAAAACGATTTGGTGCAAGTACATTATATTCATTTTATATTTTTAAGATATTCTCCAGAAACTTAAGGCAAAGCTATGCATTATAAATTTCTTTGTAGATTCCTATTGGATCTCGGATCTCCTTTGGGGAGAGGAAAGGAAGAGAACCTTTGGGATGCTGCCAAACAAGCCTCTGCGTTCAAATTGAAGTGGTAAGCAATCTATTTCTATATTGTCTAGTGATCATCACGGGTACATTCAATATAATTAATTGATTTATGAATTGTTTAGGACATGCTTTTATAATGATGTCTTCAAGACTGGGAGCAAAAATGCAATAAAATAGATTAAATAATATAACAAGGAGATGCAAATGAAATTAATGAATTATCGGAGGAATCTATTCATAAAGCGAGCCAATATTTGCTTAGTCGACCTCAGAACTAATTTTAATATTCTGCACGATTACTTGAATGTTCTCATTGCGTTTAAGGCATGGGAATCCCATTCCAGAAGTCTGATCAAGAAGGTCAATAGGAGAAGCAAAGAGTACACCGAAAACACTGAATCAGACGAGCAAAACCAAGAGGAGTATTATCATGATTCTAATTTTATGCAAGGCTTCAACAGAGTGGACATTCTTTCTTAAATGAGATAAGCATTTTCAGAGGGTCGGCTTAGATAAGTGACACCGATAGATTCCAACCAGTCATCACAGATGAAAACCAAAACAAACATCTCTTAACATTTCAAAGCTAGGACTTGCTCCAAAATTCAGAACTACCACAATATGATCAGTAATTGCAGAATTATTCGAAGAATACTTTGTTTATCTATCATCCGCAAAAGTGAACTAAGTTTTGATAAATATTTATTTTTTGTAATTAGTTATAATTTATCATTCGCCCAATCTTCATAGTCTTAGTTACCATTCTAAATAGTAGTATTATTTTATCAATTCATGTTTTACAAGCAATGTTATTAATTAGATAATCAAAATGATTAGTTTGCTGAATTCATCAGTGCATGATGACTAATATCATTCAAATCACAAACTTAAATAAAAATATTAGGTTCACAGACAATACAAAATTCCTGAATTTGACTGTACTAGCAGATTCAACATTTTAAGAGGTTCTCCTAATTCCAGCAGAAAATACATTACTATTGAACCGATTAAATAATCCTTGGATTGTGGCTCAGCATTTCAGGGATTTCAAATTAGAGTCCTCAAACCACAGGAAAGGTATGAAACTCAAAAAGAAGAAAAATACATTCCAATCACTAAAAGTGCATAACTTAAAAGAAGAAAGGAATAGAAAGAAGACAATATCAATCAAACTCAAGACGATTCACTACTACCTAGATTTTATTCACCTATTCAAACTCCAAGGAAGCTTGCTTTTACAAAGATGAAGGAATCAATCTCCAAACCCTTCTTTAGTAAGTCTGAGAATGTCGACCATATAATTACTATTAGTTCAAGATCTCAAATATACGATCAATTAAAGAAGGGGATGAATTTGAAATGCTTGTATTTCTCCTAAAGATAAGAGACTATTGATAAAATAATTGTTATCAACTTTGATAGTATTATATGAAATGAATTTATAGATTTAATTTTGGGAAAAAGGAAGTCATTTTGGGAATAATCTAGTGAAATCAAATTATGTTCTAAGCTATTTGCCTAATAATGCGATAATTCCTTTTGTTCATGTGTCCTCCAAAAAGATCTAAAATCAACACTGCAATTGTACATATAACATAACTAACATCAAGATTGTCAAAACATTTTTATGTGATCTTCATTTTCGAATGCGGATTAAGAGGATCCGCCTGGTCATCATACCTAATTGATTGTGGTTTTGTTGTTGATGCCATCTATTGTATTCAGAAATCTAAATTGTATGGAGGAGGAATTAAAATGAAATAAATTATTTCGCATTTTGGCAAATCTCAAATCAGAGAACTGATCTACTTTGGATCAATAGACACAGATATCTATTCTGACAATTTGCCCATTGAGTAGTTCTACTATTAAATTCCAATTGTGTAGTAATAGGTTTCTGTTAAAATCTATTTGATGCAATTGTAAAAGTCCAAATCGATTGATTCTAAGTTGTTCTATGAAATCAGCATGCTTCATTGCAATCAGAAGGATTGCTTTAATTACAAAAAATGGCTAAATGTTACGAAATTAGAGTTGCAACCAATTATTTCTTCGTTGATTTAAATGGAAATAGAGGATGAAATTTCAAATTCTATATTTAAAAATCTGTATATTCATTTCATTTATTCATAGTAATTTAGATCACTCTTAAAGAAACATTTCGGATGAAGAAGAAGATAAAAACAGTTAAAACAGTTTATTACAATGGTTGTATCAAACCAAGAAATTGTTATTGGATTACTTTAAAAGCATTAATAGTGAAGAATAAAACTAAAATCCTATTACTTTGATTGGAGATTTCTTAAGAAGAAATTCTTCTATTGAAATGAATTTCCTTACCCAAGATTATGTAAAATAAGCTAAGCGATTCAATTTGTATAATGAATTAAAAGCTTCGACTACAGCACAAGCAACTTTTCGGAAATAAAGTAAAATGGAATGCTTTGTTATTTAAGATTGAATCTTATGTTTGCTCTATTTATATTAGATCTAAAATATTAATGACTTTTAATATCGATAGAATAAATAAATAAGGTAACAGAATAAATGATCAAAATTTTTTCTAAGAAGTTTTAATAATAGAACGAAGTTCTTATTTTTATTAATTCTACTAATTTTGTTTAGCTAGTTGTTTCAACATTTGTTGTATCATTAATCCCTTTATATTTTTTGAAATTGATTCCTATTTTTCACTGTGAAGTCTTCTAAAATGCTGTGTTTGAGGTGAACTATGGCTATTGTTACTGTGAAAATTTAATTAAGGAGATTCTTTATCGTGTCTTTCTGTCAAACATCCTATGTCTGGTATAGATAACTTATTGTATAAGGCTTTTCCATCTGATTTATTTTTTTTGTGCTGTTTTTTTTCACTATTTTCATTGAATTGTTGTTGAGAATTGCAATTATTTTTCAATTTATCGAAATAATTAAGATTTTGATTAGAACTCTACTTAATATGATTAATAGGTTTTGACTTTTTGGAATTCAATACTTTTTTGAATAGAGTTTTAGCCAACTGACCAAATTATTATGATTATTAAGAGGAATTGATTGATTTTCCTTTCTTTTACTCTTGTTTAGAAGTTTGGAGATTGGATTTCTTATAATTGATGGATGGACTATTTCTATTAGAGTAGGAGGTAAATAATGTATTGGTTCCTGATAATGGTCGATGGGTGATGGCACCTTGTTTTAGTTTATTGTGTTAATGATCATGATAAGTATCTTCGATTAGCAACTTGGCCAGAGAATTCAACTTGAGATTATTATTCGATTGGATAACTTATGGTTATTGTGTTTTCAGATGACTAGAACTAATAGAAACTTTATGCAAGGAAGGAGTGGGTGTATTGTTTTGATTGACATCACGTATGATCTTATTGATTTTTAATTGATTCTTAACAACAGTTGTTTTAGACTTGTTTTTAATTTACTCTTATGGCTTAGAATCTAATTTTGTGAGACTTTCAATTATGTCAGTAGATGCCTGTCTGTTCGATTTTTTTGATAAATTATTACATTGATCTTTGACGAAGTTTATCTTCTTCTCAGTTGAACCTATACTGTATTTGGTGTCATTCTTTTTGTGTAGACTATAACTAGGCAATCCCTTCTAGTGCATTTTGGCCTTTTGTTTTTGGATTAAATCCTGGATCCTTTATTCCTGAGATTGTTTGGGATTGGGGGATGTTTTCTATTTTTTGTTCATTTTGGTCCCAACATAAAGTAGGAAATTATCCAAGGTAATCTTTTCTTTCTTAGGGATGGGAGCAATTGAGAATGAGGAAAGGTCCGCAGAGTATTCGAGATGGTTAAGTATCTGATTAATCGTTTATGAGGCATCCTTTTTTTACGGCTTTTGGTTCTAAGCATATTATAGTTAACAATTTTATACTTTTAACCAACTTATTTCTTTCAGAACTTATGTGTGCACAACTTCATTTTCACCTTCCTCTTGTTCTTGAGGCAGGGATTCTTATGAATTTGCTGGAGATGGCCTCTCACCTACTATACCTTTAGGTGGTTTTTAAGGATTTAGTTTATTCTCTTCTTCGATGATTTTAGCTATCCGAAAATAATCATACTTTCGTTTCTTATCATAATATTTATTTAAAACAGTGCACACTGGCTCCTAAAATATTCTAGCAATATCTGCATGGAACTATTTCAATCGAATACCATACTTTGTAATACTCTGTAAGTAATGCAATTTTTTATGGATATTCCTCCATCTTATAAAACCGCTTGAAGTATTCATCCTATTGTTATGCATTAATTAAGGTACTTCTTCATCCATAGTCAGCCAATCTTTGAAGTGTATAACATGTTTTGTTGATGCATCACTTAATATTTCATTAATTTCTCTTATGTAATAATAATTTTATGAATGCTGGTATTTCTTATACAAGTTAAGATTCATAACAGCCATTGGCTTTCTAACTATCAATGGTAAGGTTTTGGATTCCTCCAAGATTTTAAATTTCTAACTCATATTGTTAATTAATTTTAATTATATAAATTCTATACGCAGATGCATTTACAAATACTTTTAACTTATTGAAACACTCAAATTAACTATTAATCATACTAATTAACTCCTTAAAATTGGTATTAAAAAGCAAATAAATTTATATCTATTGGATTTCATCAATAGTTAAATAAACATTGATTTATATAAAAGTAAATAAAGTATATCACTCATTTAATGAAATCGGCCTTGATTTGGTTGATTAGAATATTAAATTATTCCTCTATGTCTGCTTTCTTAACTTTATCTTACTTTTGGTAATGGGACAGTAAAGATTTCTAAATTGATTGTAATTATAAAACTAGAGTTGACAATTCCTTTGGCAATTTCTTAGAAGATGAATTGAATTATGACTTTTTACTGCTAGATAACCCATTATTTGACAATTTGAGATTTTCTTTAGCTGACTTTTTAGTTCCTGAAAAGGCATCACTTTCTAAGTCGATTTAATATATATTTCTACTTGATAGAGCTCCAACATAGAGTGAACTTGTCTTCTTGTGAGATGAATTTTAAAGGTTCGTGGAAGGCAATTTGGATGTTGATTAATTGATATCAAATAACTATCTGGGTTTTATCACTATTTCTTCTGGTTTCAATGGACTCACTTCTCTGGTTTCTGGTATTTCCTCTAAGATTTAGGGTTATATGTAGATGTACCTATAACGAAGCTTTCATTTTTCTGTGTAGTAGAATGATAATGAAATGATTACGACACTTGGGTTGGAGTGCTTTGGGTAATCGATTTATGCCTTTGCCATAGATCTATAAGTTGCTCCACATTCTCATTTGCTTACTTTAGTTTGACTGTGAGACTATTTTTTATGAATCATGTACCCCTATCCACAGAGAGTGCCTTGGAACTTTATCTAGACTGATTTAAATTGAGAACCAAAGGTTGCGAATTTAACTTATAATCTGTTCTTAAATAGTGGGTATTGAAAATTTGAGGACTTTGAACTTATTGATTTTTCATAACAGCTACAAAATTAAAATTAATTATATCAACATAAAAAGCATCCTTAAACTTAGAAAAATTAAATTTAAATAGAACAAATGATGATGCAAAAATGAAAATATCATCTAACCATATACATATATATTAGTTAAAGTTCATTGTTATTTCTTTTTATAATTTGGAGTTCCCTAATGCGATTTTATTAATTGCTTTGGGGTCTTGTGTCGAATGGTTAAACTCTTAATTTCTTCCATATTCTTGACATTGAATTGTAGAGTAGTTCTGCCTTTAACAAAGAAATTGTTAATTTATTGAGGAGTGGGTTTCTTCTTGGTGAATAAATTATTATTGAGTGCAATTTTGGTTGAGAAAACTTTCTTTGCTAATTCTAATAGTAATTCATTTTATTAGGGATTGTTCCTGACAGTGGTTTAACAAGACTTGGTTAATTCAATGTTCCCTAATGATGCTTATCTTGATTTTAATTAAGGGGGTCTTTTAGTTGTTTGATTCTCAATTTTAATCTTTGTATTGGAGGATTGTCTAGACAATTAAGGGGATCTTAGATTGCGTTCGGTTTGAGGAGGGGACCTGATAATTCTATTTTTATTTTCTTTATTTCTATTTGTTTCGATTTATTTGCACTACAGTTTTTGGGCTTCAACGAGAGGATTGATTTGTTTTTGAATGATTTTGTTATAATTGAATATTTGGAACGGTTGATGCTTTTGTGCATCATTTCCAATCATTTTAACAAGATCTTTTAAAATGGTGGTATTATTAGAGATGTCTGTTTGAGTGGATTCAATTTTCAAATCCTTCAATAAGTTCTTCATTTAACTAACAGATTGATCTTCAGAAGTATCTTTAATTTTTCGAGGAGACTCTTATTTGAATTCCTTATGATTTTGAGCGAGACCCAATTCTTACTTAATTTTACAATATTAAAGTTCCCTATTTCTCTCCATTCGCTTCTTAATTATAGTTGAGCAGAAATTTCTTGGGATATTGATGTGATATTTATAGTATTCCAGTAGGGCCGGTAGTCGATCTTCACTTTCGAGAAAACGATAGTATCTAGATCAGTTGGTTGAGGGTATATACCTCCGCATGTACTCATTTTGATCATTGAGATGCAATTGATCTCTATAACGGATGTTGCATTTCACACATCGATCTTCGATTATGTCGTTTATGTCTTTCTCATAAAAGAAGTTTTGTGATTGAGAGTACTTGCAATACAAGGCTCTCTTGAGGATGAGGTGAAAAGACCCATCATTTCGCAGTTTTTCGCAAAACATGCACTTGCTTTAATTAACTAACATTTATTAATTTTAATGAGTCGAGAAACAGAAAAAAAAGAGATGCATTATTTAATATCTTGAATAAATTATTATATTTATGCAACCAAATTCAATTAGTTCTCCAAAATTCAAAGTGAGTCGTTTCAATCCTCATAGAGAACATTTGAAAACGTAAATTACCCACACTTCTTTGCTTACTCTAAAACCTAGGGCGTCTTTGCCTAAAATCTAAAAAAACACTTCCCAGATTTCTCAGAGAAGTGAAATACCTCTGTTAAAAATGCAATCTATGGGGTCTCCCGTATGTCAGAGTTGCCTCTTGGAAATGGACAAAGTGTATTGTGTTTGGCATAGTGAAACTGGTATAGTGGGGGGAGAATAGAAAGTATATAATCCTTAGCATGTTAGAAACATAATTAAGATGCTATTTTAGTTTAAAACCTGAACAATTATTAGTTGTTTGTCGTTTGTGATGGCCATGGATCTTCAGGCCATTTGGTGTCTAACTATGTCTTGAATACCCTAATTCAATAGATAGAGTAAGGAATGCAGAGAAATCAATACATGCTATAATACAACACTTAATTGCACAAAACAGTTATAAAAGGAGCATTTGCCAAAACATCCAGTCTCTTGGAATAGAGTTCTCTCCCCATCATTAGAAGTGGGTGTACGTGTAATATGGTGATGTTACTGTAACAAAATATAGTGCCAGCAGATTTGGGCGATTTTTAATAGGAATTTCAAAAGGAATCAGTAGTGTACTGTGCCAATGTTGGAGACAGCAGAGCCATGATGGTAAGCAAGGGAGTCAGAGGAGGGTTGATTACTAATTAATTGAGCATGGATCATAGATTGGATGTGGTGGAGGAGAGGAATAGAATCAAATAGAAGGGAGGAACTATAGCTTAATTGCAACACAATGGACAGTCAGTGGGTCCATTTAGAGTATGGCTGGATGAGATGTAGGGATCAGGTTTGGCTATGTCCAGAAGTTTTGGAGATACCCAAATGCAATCGGTGGGAGTCACTTCAGAACCTACCATTTATGAGTCGAAGGTAAGACAACAGGATTTATTTATGGTGATTGCTTCAGATGGTGTGTGGGAATATATGACAAATTAACAAGTGGCAAAGTTGGTTTATGAGAAATATGAGTAGCAAGATCAGGCAGCTTAGTACTTAATTTAATAGGCTTAGCAGTAATGGAAGGAAAACGATGTAGTTGTAGATGATATTAGTTGTATTGTTGTATTTTTTAATTAATCATTATGATAATAATAAAGATAAAATTACACTCTCATTATTCATAATAATTTTATTGCGGATTCATGTAAAAGTCCAGTAACATAGATCTTTACTAATCACTGTTCACACTTATGGAACTCTTTTGATTCAGGAACTCTTTGAACAAATCCTAGTCTATTTTATCGTATTCATCTTCATTTGTATCTAATATTAGGATACATTCATTGTTTACAGCAACTCTCAATTATTTCTTGTCTCCTCTGTTTGTAATTGACTAGAGCCTGCTCCTTGCCTAATTCAACTAGTTCAATCAACAATTGTTTCATTAGAAGTCTCTTTCTGTTAACAAGTGTCCTTGGGAATAGTTTCAATTTGTAAATGCCTTCTGGGGATTCAAAATCTGATAGGAGATAATTTGGATTGGACAGGAATGATTCTGCATATTCTAGAAGGAAAGCCCCACAATCTACATAGTTCACTTGTCTAGGCACTAAGAGTTAATAGGCTGGAATTTGCTTAATTGGAGAATCATTATAATTGACATCAGATTATATTTTGTCACATTGCATTTTATGTAGATACCTTTATAATGTGAAGAGTCATACATCTTTATTATTGTAACTAACTTTTAATCTATAATTCCAAAACTGTCTAAGTATATGATAACAGAATCTTAAAAAGATTTGCTTTGTTTATGAGCGATCAGGAGAGACCAATGTTCAGGCAAATTGATGGGAAATAGTAAATACTCCTTTTCAGTCAAATCCTCTTTGACCCATCTCTTTATGTGTTCGTAGGATTGTTTGAATAGTTCATTTATTCTATGATTATCATTCTATTAGATAGTTTGCAATTTGTCAAAGGGACATAGTTTCTCCACAAAATAAGTGTTAAAGATGTATGTTTTGGATCTCAAGGATTCATCGAGTAATTCGAACTCGATAAATTTTAAATAAAAGTTTATAATTCCATCATTCAAATAATTGGGTGGATTTAATTTTAAAACATCGTGATATTTGATTTAAATTGTCTTTTTTTGAGTGCCACTTGAAAATTAAAAGTTGTATTCATAATCCTCTTTCAATTAAGTGTCTAATTCTAGTATTCTCTCCAAGATTTCTTAATCTTAAAACTTCGCGAATCGCTCTTTCTGCTGCAACTTGATTTGATCCCACATTTATTGATGCTTCATCTAAGTCTATCTTTTAGTCCTGTCATTTGACTCGAAATTTAAACTAATTATTGATAATTGTACTATTTTGGATCACTATATAATGGTGTTACTAATTATAATTAACAAATTAATTTATCAATATTCTCAAGCGCTCTTTTTGTATCTGCTTGTGAAATGAATTTAGGTTCTATCGGTTGTTTTTAATCTTCAATCTAATGAATTGGATTACAGATATTACCTATTTTGGAATCTTTTGCTTCACTTCTTCTTCTGGTAATTCAAACTCTACTTCCTCCAATATTTTGAAAGCATTCTGAATGCCTTATTTATATTGCTAGAAGTAATTGATAATATTTGGCTGCTTTTATTAAGACATTTTAATTTAATAATAATAATTTGTTTTTAATATATATTTTATCATTAGCTTTTCCTTTTTTGCTATTGCGATAGTGCCATTAAAAATTGATCAATTCTTGGATATTCCATTCTCTTCTGCTCCAACTACTCCAATTTCCTTGGATCCTTCGAAGTCAGAAATTCCCTCAAGATAGCCTTCTCTTACTCATTCATCATGGCAATCAATTCCGCCAATTCATTCGGTTATTGTTATTATTATGGCTACGGCTATTACTACTAAATGGGATGTTGAGGGTGCATGTGCATCATTGGCTATTGCAGAACTGGTGGTTGAGTAGGAACTTACTGCTAAATTTAAGGAGGCTAGGTTTATTGCATGACAGGTGCCATCTAATTGGGTAATTGGCTACTCATTTGATTAGGCATTTGGGGCTTTGCTATTAAATTTAATATAATACCATAAACATAGGCATTTAAGAAATTGGATAAGGCTAATGAAGGTTTTGTTGCATAGCCTATTATTGTTATTATAATTGCTATTATTATTGTTACTGAATGCTGCTCTGTTGTTAAATCGATTACATAGTATGTATATTATACTCCTGTCTTCTTTAGAGTCTTGGATCCTCCAATTGGTGGAATGTAACAGGAGGAGCTATAGAATCCAACTATTTAACATTTCAAATATATTTACTAAATTGTAGTTGCTACTTGCATTCTAAGGCCTTATCGGAATGACAGGAGTGCTATTGATGGGATTTTGATGAGGTTGCACATTCGGTTACTACAATGGGAACATCATCTCTGGCTTGTAAAGAGGAGGAGGAGCTTCGACTGTTGGTGTCCTTATAGGAATTGGAACAGCAGGTCTTATTGATTCTAGAGTAGGTTGGACAGTTGATATCTTTGCAAAGCCTATCCTGTCTTTGGAGATC